TTTTGACACATTATTTTTTTAAATCAGATTATTTTTTACAGAGTTATGCAATTTTAAAGTTTCAAATTAAAATAATTATTATTTAGATCGTATTTGCATTATTAATATTTTATTAGTATTAGAATTACCTTGTTATTAAATTAGATGTTCAAAATGTCCGCACTTTTTGAAGCGTCTCTGGTGTAATTCGCTCACACTCCTCCACTATTCTACGTCTAAGTTCAAGAATATTGCGAGGTTGAGTTTTATACACCACAGTTTTTAGATGTCCCCATAAAAAAAGTCAAGGGGCGTTAGGTCGGGTGATCTAGCTGGCCATTCTATATCGCCCCTTCTTCCGTTCCATTTATTTGGAAATGTCTAATTAAGCCAATTTCGTAAAGGCAAGGCATAATGTGGAGGTGCTCCGTCTTGTTGAAAAAATAGGTTTTCTTCGTCTAGCAACAAATTTCCATCTTCATCTATTTGGTTTTCTAAAGATTCGGTTATAAGGGGATTTATGAAATTTTCTAATAAGTCCAAATACAATTCCCCAGTTCAATTTTCTTCCATGAATAAAGGACCAATAATTTTATTTCCGAGAATTCCGACCCATACGTTAATTTTCTGAGGATATTGACTGTGCTCTTCCCGAAAAACATGTGGATTGGTATTGTCCCAGTATCTACAATTATGTTTATTGACAAATCCATTTAAAAAGAATTCTGCCTCGTCAGAAAAACAAATATTTTTAATTAAATTAGGGTCTTCATTTGCTCTTTGACTCATTAATTCGCAGAATTCTAATCTTCTGTCATAATCATCCTCAGCAAGCTGTTGTAAAAGCTGTATTTTGTAGGGAAAAAAATTATTTAGCCGTAACGTGCTATGCACCGAGCCGACGGAAATATTTGTTAACCTGGAGACTTTTTGTTTTGATGTTTGAGGATCTATGGCAAAATGACCTAAAATCTCAACTTGTGCAGCTTCAGTTAAAACTTTACGATTGTTGTCACTTTTATTGCACACACTTCCAGTTTCTTTAAATTTATGAACTAAATCCAACACATACTGATGTCCAACATTTTTATAGGGATGTCTTTGATTAAAAACATGAGCAGTTCTGCGTGCACAGTGTTGTTCTTCTCCATAAATAAATATTATTTCAATTCTTTCTTGTAAAGAATAAACCATTGTCGAAAATTGTTGGTCAGTACACAACGAAACCAAAATACTAATAGTAAATTGTTTAAATTTATAGTCAAAAATATCTTTTGTAAAAACATTTAAGGTTTTTTCTCACTTGCTTATCTCGGTATTTATACTCATGTATTTTTTTAATTCCAATTCAAAATTTTAAATTTTTAACGGTTTCTAGCTCATAACTCGTTAAAAAATAATCCGATTTTAAAAAATAATGTGTCAAAAGATTGGAAAAAAAGAGACCTTTAAAAAGAGCTATCACATGATACCCCTTCCTATTTAAACTTTTAGAAGTGATATTCACCCCCGCTTAGGGGTTGAAACTGCAGGGTGACAGATACCTGTAAAATTTGTCCCCCCGTAAATAAAAATTGACGTGTTTTTTTGTTCTTTTGTTTTAAGGATATTTTAAAAGTTATCTTGGGTGGCTAGTTTTGAAATGAAAGCACCGTATAATAAGTAATAATTTTATTGTGAAATAGTACTCGTAAATGGAAATATTTATATTACCTAGATACACAGAGTGTTCCCTAATGACATGCTAATATTTAAGGGGGTAATTCTTGGATCCATTTTAAGAAAAAAACTTCATATATGAAACATATAGTATGGCCAATGAATACATTTAATTTTTTAATGCAAAACGAATAGTCGTACGGAAAAAAGTCACGAAATCAAATTTGTTCTAAATTAAATGAGGATTCTGAAAATAATTTTTATTTCAATATTAGGCAGTGGCGTACCATTATTTTTCTCCAAAAATATTGAATTCAAAACCCGTACGGACATCAGTGCTGAAAATAATAAAATTATTTGTACATCAGAAAATGCATCTTTATTTATAGAAGACGCGTACCTCACTTCATAAAGATATCTACAATAGTATCACAGTTATTACAAAAAATTGATTTTTTTTAACTTTACCACCCTGTATCTCAAAAGTTAAGACATTAATGGCACTGGATATGAAGTTTTCACCTTAAAATAGGTCCATGAATCACCTTCTTAAATATTAGCATGCCATTTTAGAACACCCTGTATAGGTACCTACATTTTAAAACTTAACTAACTTTTAAACATAAACTTACTTCTAAAATTAACCAAAATAAATTCGGACATACAATAATTAGAGTGGATATCCGTAATTCCTGATAGGAATGTATGTAATTTCTATTACGAAAAACAATGCATATTTAAGTAAAAAAATCGCTTTTATGGACAATAAATATTCATTTTTAGATCCATTCATTCGAAATACACTTGTTATTCTGTTTACCGCAATAACATTTTTACATTTTCTAATGGATTGAAGGTTTTTCGCTATTTTTATCACTAATGTGGGAGAAACCGAGGGTGCAAAAAATATTTGCAATGCAGTATGTATATAATAATAACAGGGAAATACTTTCTCCAAACGATTTTTGTGGTAGGTACTTAGATAATACTTATACTATAAATATATGTACATGTTATTATACTACTTAATTGAGAGAGAAAAATAATGCAAAAATGTTACGGCCTTTAATCAAAGGGCAAACAGTCCAAACCTTGAACACTAGTACGCCTTAATTTTATCTAAACAAACGTACTTTGATGCTTGATTATCTAACATATTTGAGTTAGGTAATAAAAAGTTATATATTATTTGAACAACACAACGCATTCGTAAGTTTTGGAATTACAACCTTTATTTTATAGTAAAATAAACACAATTGGATTACTAACATTAACCTTAGGAGCTTTTAGTTCTTTTAAGAGCGAGATATTATATTTATTACAATATTCTTTTTTGTCGAGTAGATCCAATCAATCAAGGTGGTTAAATGCGTTTCATATATAACTTTGAAAATTACTTGAAACCTAAATCCAATTCGTAATTAGGTTACCTATACAATAAATGGTAAATGTGTTGTGTATTTTAGAATTATGATTCATACCATTTTTTGTGTAGTAAAGTGTTTGTATTTCAATGAACTTATAATGTTGTTTCCTAATTCCATTGAGCTTGATACCAATTGTAAAAAGGATTTTTTTTATTTGATTATTTACATAATTTGGAATCACATCAAACACAAAATAGCAATTAAGTTGATTAATTATACAAATTTTGGATAATTGAGCATACAGAGTTCAATGAATTTGAAATTAATAAACAACAAAAGAATTTATTTTTAACAGCAAATATAACTTATATTATTTGTAAATATTTAGATTTGCCCTAAAATAATTAAGTAATCGTGATTAGAAGTTAATACAATAATAATTGTATAAGACCAATACAATAAAATAAATACCAAGAAGAAATTGTCACAATTAATCCGTATGTAACATTTGTATTTGGCCAGTTGACATTTTAATACCGGACGAACATAACCTATCACAACCCATACGTCAAATTAAAAGTTGTAAATGAAATAAATCAAAAATCAAAAAAGTATGTATGAGAAAAAACATAACAAACGATGTAAATTGCCAAAATATACACACTCAATTAAACAATTAGGATTAAATCGCAATTAAAGGTTATCGATATGCAGAAAAATTAGTACTCACCAGTTGATTCGTACTCGAAGCACTTCTGTACTGATAACGAGTTTTTTCTTTATCGTAAATTTAAATTCGCGCACGGCTGGAATCCATACACACTTTCGTAAATAATCGCGATCGAAATTCGCGTGGATTGGATGGCTGATCGGTAAAATTATATGAAGTTATACCGTATTTTTGGACAGAACGTCTCGCTGTCTCGTGGATGGCCAATCGCAGACGAAGTCCTTTAGGAGGGAGAGTGGCGTGATGTTGTACGTCACCATGTGCTACAGAACCGGATCAATATTTTCCTGTATTTTATTTTCCTTCGTTCGAAGGTGCTGTCATGCCGTGAAACGGTCTCGGGATCCTTCAGGGCGCTAGGGCGATTCCGATTTTATCGAACATGTGTTAATGTTTATATTCGTAAGAATAAAAACAATGGGTAATTGTCAGTGATCAGTGACAGCTGGCGTGGTCGCCGGCTAGTAACTGTCACGTTTTACATAAAATTTGAATTGTGTAATGATGGTTGCATAACTAGCAGATTAAAATTATTTTAAAATGTACAGGATCGTTTTTATAAGTACCCAAAGGACAAAATATTTAACAAAAATGCACATAAGTGCAAATTTGTAAGCAATACGGTCTATGGGCGCCAAAAACTCGACTTTCATTAATCTCATATATGGAAAAAAGAGTAATATTGTGAAATATTGTGGGACTTGACTTTATTACTCTTACCACTGTTATTTAAGGAATCTTTCTTTGTTCAACTCAAAGACTTGCCCATATTACATACAAATTTGCACATATCCATGTACACATAAGTGCAAATTTGTATACAATTATACAATATGGTCTAAGGGTGTAACAAAAACAACTTTCATTATTCTCGTGTAAAGGAAATAGAAAGAGTGATATTGAGGAATTGCAACATTCTCACTCTAACAACGGTTATTTTAATAATCTTTCTTTGTTCAACTAATAGAATTGACCATATTGCAAAGAAATTTGCATTTATCCATATACACAAGTGCAAATTTGTACCAAATATGGTCTATGGGGAGCAACAAAGAAAACTTCTATTAATCCCATATAAAGGAAGAAGAAAGTGTGATATTGTGTGATTGCAACTTCCTCACTTTAACCACTAGTTAAATATAAATAGTTATTTTAATAATTTTTCTTTGTTTCACTCATGAAATTGACCATAGCGCAAACAAATTTGCACTTTCCCGTATATCATATTCCTTCTTTGTGATTTTTCACTACAGTAAATCGATATATTCAAATGAATTTGAACCCCAATATTACAAAGTACACTTTATTGATAAATATTAATTAGATTACATAAATAGAATTATCTCTTTGAAAAATTGGAATTCATATGTCGAGTCGATCTCTGTATATTATTCAAGTTCGATCTGATCTTTGTTGCGACGTCTTTAATGTTATTCTGGCTCTTGGTGAGCTCCCTGTGAACAAAGTTCGAATCAAACTCTTCAATTTTGGCCTCCGTCTGTTTATTGTCCAGCCGATGCTTCTTCAAATTATCGCTTCGTTCTTTGTCTCTTTCCACGGCGTCCGACATCATTTGCATTCTTAATTCTTCCTTTTCTTTTTCGCTCAGTTTTTTGGTAGATTTTTTTGCTACATTTACGGGTTTCGATGGCTCCGGGATTTTGGGTTTTATGACTCTAGGCGGAGAAGTCGGTTTTTTTAAGGATATTTTTGTGCCATCGGTTCTTACTAAACCGAAGGATTCCTTTTTAACGACGTATTCGTCATTATCGCTGTCATAATAGGAGGATTGCTGGACATTAGTAATGTTGGTTTCAGTCTCTTGTGGTTTATTTGAATCCCTCAGTTTTCTTAGCTTTTCTAGAATTAAGTTATCCAAATCTTCATCCTTTTTGTTAGATTTCGGTATTTCCTTTTCTTCCTCACTGCTACTTCTGTTGTAGTTTCTTCGTTTACTATTATAGTCATTTGCCCTATATTTCTCATTCCTTCTACTTTCGTATTTTTTATTCCTAGACTCCTTCCTTCTGGTTTCTGAATCATTACTACTAGCAGAACTATCTCTTCTTTTATTCGATCGACTATAAATGTTTCTATGCCTATCATACTTTTTGTGGCTATTTGATTGTATTTTTGAATCATATCTACCCCTATTATCATCACTACTATTGGAGCCGTCTCTTTTTCTCCCGCGTTCTCTTGATACACTTCGCCTTGTCCTTTTTGCTTCATAATAGTTATCCTTTCTCCGTTCGTTATAATCTTGATTGTCTTTTTTTCGATTATATTCTTTTGAACTATTTCTTTTGCGCGACTTTTTATCATTAAATTTCTCATCTTCGGATTCGTTACTGCTGCTACTTGATTGTTTATGCTTCTTGGAGCTCTTCTTGACGTTTTCTTCTTCGCTGTCGCTACTTTTACCTGCTAAAATATCATTGAGATCCTCCTGAGATAACTTATCTTTCAACTGATTAAATTTATGCATTAAAATAATATCTATATTATCTTCTTCTTCTTTTTTATTGTTCTTCAAAAGATTTTTGGACGCAGACTTTCCCTTCAGTTTTTTTAATTTTTCTGCTAACTGCCTGTCTAATTCATCTTCTGAATCGTGCTTTTTCTTCTTTTGCTTCTTGCTTTTCTTTTTATTTTCTTGACTTTTCATTGCTTCTTGCAATTTTTTCAACTGGATTGGATTTTGAAGGAACTGCCTTCTGGCCTCTTCCTCTTGCCTCTTAATGGCCACCAAAGGATCTTCTTGAAGTTTTGCAGAAAGGTCAACCTAAAACTTGATAGTTTAATATTTAGGACAAGTGTATTGAATTACCAAATACCTGCTCTTCGTGGACAATTTTATTGTAATCTCTTATTGAAGGTGGAATACATTCATGTTCTACGTGGTTTTTGGGAGGCACTAGGCCTAATTTCTTTTCTTTTTCTTCGTTGGTTAATTGTTCAAACGTTTTATCCACAGATTTACCGAGTAAATATTCCTCTCTGTCCACTTGACTGTGTGCTCCCTAAATAAAAATAAATAAGAACGTTTACTTAAAATAATGTGCAAAACATACCTTATACATCCAATCCAATTTGTCATTATTGCTATTCATACTCATTTTAACGTTTTTAAATATGAATTACAATGTGTAAATGTTTTTAAATAAGGAATTATTCAATGAATTCACAGAAAATCAACGTTTTCAACACAAATGCACAAATCTTCTACCTTTTGATGGAAGTGACAAGACAAGTGTCAAGCTAGAAATTTCTGTGCCAACTTCACTGTGGATATCTTCTACCATAACATAATATATTTATTTATTTCTACTCTAATATGAATAAATTTATTTAATATTTGGGTTCCGTTTCTTTAATAATTTCAACACTATATATAAATAAAAAATAATCTATCCATAATTATAATAAATCATTAGATTTGAAGTGGTTGTTTACAGTAAAAATGACAGCTTATTTTGAGAATTTGTAAAGAAGAAGAAAAGCACTACGAAATACGAAATGTCAAAACGTCTGTTGTTTGAGATTGGAAAATTAGAAATTTTATTACATTACCGGATTAATTTAATATATTGAATGAACCAAAATAAAATTCAGGATAAGCGTGATCTGCATGATGTCGATTTAAGTAAAAAATTAAGCTGGTTACTTCGACATGGGGCTGTAAGGGAAGGTATTCCCATAACGAGCGATGGTTATATATTAGTAAAAACCTTACTCAAACACGGTTCTTTAAAAGGAAAATATAATATAGAAGACGTCGAGAGAGTGGTTAATAATAACAACAAACAAAGATTCAGTCTTAGGGGTGCTGGAGACTTCTTGGAGATATGTGCTAATCAAGGACATACCATCAGAGTAAGTAAATGATTTTCCATTTTATAGCTGATATTCACGAATTCCATTTTTAGGGATTGGAAGATTTAAATTTAAAACCTATCACCGAGGCTACAACAAATGTCATTCACGGGACATACTTCAAAAATTGGGAGAACATCAGAGCAACGGGTATAAATCGTATGCGAAGAAATCACATTCATTTTGCAAGCGGACTACCGGAAGATAACCAAGTAATAAGTGGCATTCGCCCAGATGCGGAGATTTTCATCTATATTAATTTGGAAGCGGCTCTTGCTGATGATTTGAAATTCTACGAGTCCGTTAATAAAGTAATTCTAAGTCCTGGAAATCAGAATGGCACAATACTACCTAAATACTTTTTAAAAGTCGTGGACAGATTTGGTAAAAATCTGTTTCAAAATTAATAAAAAGCCTTCTAAAATGGAGAAAAAGAAGCCCAACGAGAATGTAAAATGCGAGATATGCAACATTGAAATATGTAGCAGTACTTTTCAGCAACATGTCGAAGGACAACGACATAAAAGGAACGCCGATGCTGCGGAGCATCGGAGGAGAGCCGAAGAAAAGTGCGGAATTTTTGTAACTGGTTCGTAAATGTTTATTCCACAAGTAAATCGCGTTATTTATCCATGTATTTTGCAGGCTATCCTCTAACTATAAGCCAGGATGAATTAGTGACGTATTTCTCAAAATTTGGAAGCATAGTGTGGACGTATTTCGCCAAAAATTATTCGTTTATTGACTTTTCTGATCCCGCTGTAGTTAGATGTATTATGCAAACCGCCCATGAATTGCATGGGAAAAATTTAACTATAGATTATAGAAAACCAAAGCCGATAAGTGAGTGCCTTTGCATTTTTATCTATCGTATGAACATTACGTTTGTATTTTTTAGACATAAAACCTGACCCAAATCTCGAAGATACAGAGGCAACAATCGAAAGTCTAAAAACCGCAGAAAGTTTTCAACAGCAGCTTCGCATACTCACTTGGTATTTGCAGGGTAGAACAAACGGGTCTAAATGCAATATTATTTGTAGAGATTTTCGAAAGATTCTCAAGGCTTCTTTCCCACGTTGCACCATTTTTCCATTCGGTTCATCTTACACGGGCTTAAATATATGCAATAGCGACATAGATATCTACATCAGTGAATTAAGAAAGGACGGAGAGGACGATTTGCAATACCTTCAAAAATTAAAATCCCTTTTGAACAAATCGAATTGTTTTAGCAACGTTATAGTCATAGGTAATTTGTAAATAATTCGAATTTAGTAATTTCAGTTTAATTAGAATTGATTTCGTTTTAGGCCAGGCAAAAATACCGATATTAAAATGCATACACACACCGACAAACACAAGTTGTGATGTTAATGTCAGAAATTTATTGGGGGTGTGCAACAGCCGCCTTATCAGCTATTACATATCGATAAATCCAAAAATAAAAGAAATTATGTTGATAATCAAATATTGGGCCAAAGTTCACAAAATCACCGGTCGAAATTGCTACTTCACCAATTACTCCATCTGCTTGATGATAATATTTTTCTTGCAATCGTAAGTTCTTGCATTTTTACATAATTTTGTTTTAAACTTATCTATTTGCAGTACTTCATACAAGCTTCCATCGGTAAAACTCCTGCAAAGCGATTCGATATTCGACATTATTCAAGAAGGCTGGAACGGTGGATTTAAACCGTTACCTGTCGATGCTCCCGACTTAATAGCAGCCTCATCGATAACCCTACTACGCGATTTTTTCTCATTCTACGCCTCTTTCGACTACAACACCTACATAATATGCCCGTATCTGGGCGAACCCATCAAGAAAGACCTGTTTGAAGACCCGAATAATCCACTGGAAGATTTCAACGCGTACAAAGAGATCATCAGCGCAAACAAGAGCAAACCATTGAAAACCAACGCTACAATATGCGTGCAAGACCCGTTCGAGCACTCCAGAAACACCACTCCGATCGTAACAAAAATAACCCTAAACAACTTCATGCTATACAGTTGCCACGCTCGAAAGTTATGCGAGGACGGCGAACAAGCGCTGTTGTACAAACTCTTCACCGAATCCCCGCGCAACGTTCAAGTAGAGAAGGTGATGATGAAACAATTCACCCAGTTCGGCGTCAACATGAGCCTAAACACTACCTATCTGAGGCGAAAGCTGCACGAGGCCGATTCCTCCGTGACGAAGGCGCTGAAGGACCTGTGGTTCGAGTCGGTGAGGGATTTCGCGCTGATAACGCTCCGGGATTTCCTCAAGTTCAGCGTGGAGGAGAACGGCGGTCCGTCCGAGAGCAAGCTGACGAAAACCGACGATCAGACGGACATCCACTGCGGCGAGCAGTTCCACATCGCTTCGTTCAAGTGCTCGGCCAAGCTGAACTTGTGGGGCTCGCGTAAGGCCGCGTTGAAGGCCTTCGATAAGACGCACAATAATTTGATCGATAAAGAGACGGAGATTACGAAGCAATTGCAGGAGATGTACAAGCACATCGATTCGCAGGTCAACGTGATCGAATTCGAAGTGATTTTGAAGAAGAATTACGAGCCCGCTCAGGTTACGTTTATGCTGAAACGCGTGTATTCGTACAAAAAGACGTTCAATGATTTCTGCTCGTTCTTCGCTCACAAATTCGGGATTTGGTTAGAGGAATACGAGAATGATTTGAATAATGATACAGGGTGAATGGTGATTGTTGATTTAATTTCGAATTTGCGGTCGATACAGGGTGTTCGTTGAAGAATAGAGCGTTGTCATAACGGGACGCCCGGTATATCTGGGACCTCTATTGAGAATTTTGGAATTGGAATATTAAATGTGTCTCGCGAATTTCACATTTCTCGAATCTGTACATATTTTGCTCTTTATTTTATTTTGTGCTATTAAGGTGCTAACTATTTTATGTACCTGTAAATATTCAAAGATTTTTATTTTTTATTCGATTTTTATCTGGAATTTACGAGTATTGGTAGTTCCTAAGTATTCATCTTTGAATTCATCACATTAGGTTTGTTCCACTGCACTGTTAATTTGTTGGAACAAACCTATTGTTTTAATTTCTCCTACCTTTTATATAACTTTCAAAATCATTAATTTTTTACATAATTTTCTTTATTAAGTACTTCTTTGATTTTAAAAAAACTAATTGTACATAAGTACAAGTGGTATACCTGAATTTAAGTATACTTGAAATAAGTATACCTGAAGGTTCATTTTAGTTACCTATAAGCAAATTAATTTTTGCTTTAGAATAATTGTCATGGTTCAAATTGGTATTTGAAAAGATACACCAGATATATTTTTAAAGATGGAAACTGGTAGTTTAATTTTTAATTTGGTAACTGACTTTTAGGGAGCGGTACTCTTCTCATAAGTACCGGCTCTTGATACAATGTAAATAATTGTCTTTTACTGTATTAGAAAAAATAAAAATATAAAGAAAAGAGTTGATATTTTTGTAGTTCGAAACACAATTATACTTAAGCTAGTTTTAAGTTTAAAAAATTACCATACGAAACAGATTTCTACCTCCAATTTTATAAATGTACAGTTTATTATCTACTACTTTTTATCCGCTCTACGAACCGATTATTCAAAGAGCGCAACTGGTCTTGCGCTCCGCATTTTCTGCGGGGTATCCGCACAAGCACTGTTTGCCGCCCAAACCGTTGGGCAGGCATATGTGGTCCGTCGGGCATTGGTTCTTGAAGTACTCGCACACGTTCGCCAAAGGCGGGCACTTATTCGGCACCGCCACCAGCTCGAACAGCCTATTTCCCGTGCCGCCCAGTGGCACGGGCAGCGGCGGCAGCTTCTTCAACGTGTACTTCTCCACTCGCTCTATTTTTTTCCTAAAAAATAGAAAATGTGTACCGAAAACTAACTTAAGTTTGTGCTGATGTAGTTACGAAAGTAGCTATACCTCGCCAAATGTAGCTTGGCAGTTATAAAAAAGGGAGAGTACCGAGAGAACTCGTAGTAATCATTGATCGAAGTGTAAAGATGGCAAGATTTCCAGAGGAGTTGTGGATATACAAGGGATATTTCCAACATACTGGGAATTGTGCTATAATTAAATAACGCAAAATTTATAGGCAATATCAATGGGGAGGCAGACAAGTCCCAGTGCAAAATTATTCAGTCTAAATCAGGTGTTCGAACCATGGAAAACGCAGCAAAATCTCTAAAGATCTTTCTCAAAATCTCTTCCTCGTTTGCGCATTTAATGCTCTTTTCATGTACCAAGCTACATTTAATGAGGTATAGAAAGCGCAATTTTCCTTTACAATCAGCACCGGTACGTTGCTTATCTTCTGGACAAAACGTTTTATTTCAAAAGTTTTGAAACTTGATACTCACGTAATCCAATCCGACCAATAAAATTCCCTATCAGTCACAGCAAGTCCAAAGGGATAAGTCAAATTAGCAGCAACGGTTTGCTTGCGCCTGTTATCGATGTGGACGCACTCGACCTTCTTGGTACCGGCGTCGGCGAAACACAAATGCTCCGTTTCGAAATCGATCGTGAGTGAATTCGGCAGAGAAACGTCCGGCGACTTCAAGAATATCTGCCTGTCGGTACCATCGGCGTTCGCCCACTCTATCTTCGGGTTCTTGCGATTCCAGTCGGTCCAGAAGATTTTGCCCCGCTGCGGATGCACGGCTATCCCTCGGGGATTCACCAAGTCGGTGCTGAAGAGCGTCCTTCGAAGTTTGGATTCTATGTTGGCCACTTCGATGGTGTCCAGAGTGGAGTCTGTCCAGTAAACGTTGCGCGAGATCCAGTCGATCGATAGGCCTTCCGGTGAGCCGATGTCTGGAAATTATCACCAATTGTTACAAATGTTTAAAGCAAAAGTTGGGAAATAACTTACTTTGGGTGACGAAATTGTTCTTGTCAGTACCGTTTAGAAGTGAGCTTCTGATGGCTCTTCCGCTAATGTCGCTCCAGTACACTCTTCCTTCTAAGCAATCGACATCTAGACCCACAGCTGTTTGGAAAGCCTTTGCTTGAATGGGTTTCCTGGGCCGCGTTTGCTTCGGGTTCAGAGGCACTCTCAAAGTGGCCATACCTTGGTTGAGGAGAAGATAATTACCCTCGTGACGGGATATTTCTTTGCACGTAGATCCATTGCCGATGAATCCTGGGTTGCATTGACAGCGGAAATTTCTGCTGGCGTCTACAATTACAATTAGTTACAAATTTATTGATTAATTAAATTGTGTCTTAACCTGTAACACATCTGGCTTGATTGGAGCACATCGTCGGATCAGTGTGGCAGTTTCTTTCCGCGTAGCACAAGAAACCGTCACCGAAGAAACCTTCCCTGCATACGCATTTATAACCCAGCTCTTCTTCAATGTATTTACAAACGGCGTGTACCCCGCAATTGTTCAAAGTATCGCAACCCACCACTTTCTCTCTACATTCCGTGATACCGTCGCCCACGAAGCCCTGCTTACACTGGCAGTAGTACGTTTGGTACTCGTCGTCGTAGAGGCAATCGGCGTTCTCCACGCATTTTCCTCCACCGCACGAGCCCGAAATAATAACGCATTGGTTTTGGGAATCACGGACGTATCCTGCGAAACACCAACTTGAGCGAGACGTGTGATTTTTTCGATACAAACTTACCATCTTTACAGATGCACTCGTATTTCTGCGACGGGGTTATCAAACACTCCTCAGTCGGCGTGCAGTCTTGGTTTGAAGTGCAGCTAGCTGTGAGATGAAAATTGTTGACGCAATTTGTAGTATTTTCATAGGTTTTCTTACCAATAATGGTGCAACTGTAGCCGTCGCCTGTAAACCCGGGGTTGCAAATGCACGTCGATTTGCCCAGATTTACGTCGTACGAACAAGTCGCTTGCTGGTGGCAGTTGTCTACTTTGGTGCAAGATATTATTTCTACCTCGCAGTTGTACCCGTTTCCTTCCAATCCGTCGTTGCACACGCATTCGTACTCGTGCAGGTACTCGTTGTAGAGGCACGAGGCGTTCGGGTGGCAATTATTCAACACTTCGCAACCTTCTGTGAGAATTAAGGTATTGTATCTCCAACGAAAATCAACTGATTAAATAGTATACTATACCTTGAACATATCTCTCTGTTGTCGGTAAAGCAGTCTCGTTACCTGAAGCTGTACTGTCGAACAGACAATACGGGCTGTCGCCTTCCATTACGTATCCCGGTGGGCAGTAACATCCGTCGTTTGTGCAAATTTGCAAAATTTCCTGACCTGAAAGACCGCCTCATTACATTCCAAAAATATTTGCTTGTCCTTATACTCACGTGGTGACTCCGTCTCTTCAAACTCGTTAGAAGTAGTGGTGGGTATAACGCTTGTAGTAGTGGGAACCTGTTGACACCTGTAACCATCGCCTGCATATCCCGGAAGGCAAGTGCAATTGTATACACCCATTTCCGGACTTATGGAGCAATATCCGTACGGGGAGCAGTTGTTCGCTATGTGGCAACTATGGTCTAGCATTGGCGTACAATACTGACCATCTCCTACAAAAAAAAAAGGAATTTAAAAGAGTGTTTAACAAGGCGCACTACCCACAGCAATTCCTGCGGCGTTACCTTTGAATCCCGCCTGGCACTTGCAGCTGGCGATGCCGTTGCTCTCGACGCATTCGGAGTTCTCGTTGCAGGTGATGTTCTGGCAGGACCTGGCGTTGTCGCAGATGTGGCCGTTGCCCTCGTAACCCGGATTGCACGTGCAACTGTAGCTTCCGACGAGGTTGGTGCACCGCGCGTTGTAGTCGCATTCGTGCTGGCCGTTCTGGCACTCGTCGATGTCAGCGCAAACGGTGCTGTTGCCGTCGTATTGGTTTTGGTAACCGGGATTGCATATGCACCTGTAGGAATCGTTGTCGACGACGCAGGCGCTGTTCGGCGCGCATTTCGACCGGCCGATTTCGCAGGGATCATAATCTGTTGATTAATAATTGAACGTTGTGGTATTTGATATGAATTGGGGTGATCAGAAGCAAATAAGTATACCTCAACCAATGTAGTTGGGCAGTTTAGAATTGCATCAGATGCGCAAATGAAGAAGAAAGATGATCGATACTAAAGAAAGAGTCTTTCGATCGATGCCTTCCAATTGAGCTCCCATTGCCTACCCTACCCCCTCTCTACTAAACTACTAAAATATTTCAACTGCCAAGCTACATTGGTTGAGGTATAGATCAGTTAAGTTGTCTATCACTAGTTGTGCAGTAGTAGATCAGTAAAAATATACAGTACCTATAAGGGTTTTCTAAAAGTATTCTTAAGGTTTCCTGTGAATTAATCGTGTTATTATTTATGTTTTCAGAAACAAAGTTTGTGGTATTTATTCGTTACAGTAGATATATCGGGTCAAAGTTGATCAAGTCCAGTAAATTCTGATTTAAAATTGCTTGTTGCTTATTGTTATTGAATTGTGAAATAACCAATGACCTATGCTAAAGTTTTTCTACTACAAAATTACCGTCTAAGATTTTCAACCAAAGCTAATCAACTAAAATATTGTTTTTTTTTTAATACTATTTTAGGACTTAATCCAGTCTATTGGACAATACGATTAAGTGCTTTCTTACCGCCAAATGGAGTAATCTTGTTGCTCAAGCCAAACCTGATGATCTGCTCTCTGCTTTCGTAACTGATAAAGTTTTTACCGACTTTGAGTTTCCACGTTTCCCCTACTGATATGTTACTGGATTTGCAATAGTCGAATACGAATGATTGATCGACGGAGTAGGTGATAGTTTTTTCCTCCCCGTTGGGGTTTAGAACGCGAAGGATCCTCTGGGAGGTCATTTGGATTATTCCAGGACCCGTTCGTGTATAATCCTCGTGGTACTCGTCGATGTTTACCTAAAACAATGACTGTTTCTTACAAATTCTTACGGCTACCTCTATATTACTCATACCCTAGATTCAGCCGGTAGCAAAGGAATATCACCCTGGATATCCGCCTCGAATCTCAGTTGATCGAACACGTCCAAACCCAAGTACTTCTGCGTTATCCTTACCACTTGGTTACTTTCGTGGAAGTTTAACACGATGGAATTGTTGAAAACGCCGCCGGTTACCTGATAACTGAATTTGAATGTTACTTAAGGCGATTTGTTCGATTTATAGAAGGTGCTTTACCCGTTCACAGCGCCTCTCAGGGGCTTCGCGAATAAGTAACCGATCACTCCGCCTAAGATCTGCATGGATTGTATGTCGAATCCTATGGATTCCGGTATCTTGGAGACCGCAGTGTATGCTCTACCATCGGACATTACTACGTATGATTGCAAATCGAGATTGTCCAGTTTTTCACCGTTGATTTTTCCGTTTATTTTTCCGTTCACTCTCAGTGGTACATCTGCAAAGAGAATGAGTCAATTCTCATCTATGTAATAAACTTGTGAGGATTGAGATTACCTTTTTTTACACAATGGTTGCCGTTTCCGTAATATTTAGGATGGCATTCGCAGCAAAAACCCTCATCGTAATCGATACACTTGGCGTGAATGTGGCAGGTGGTTTTGGCTCCAGCGCAAGAATCACTGGGAACATCTGGTTTGTTACCTAAAAATTAGCTTTTAACTCATATTGAACGTTTTTTGTTAAATCTAAATAGACTTACTGAACCCAGCATCAGGTTCCACTATTTCCAATTGATCTATTCTATAGATAAACTGTCCTTCTAAACCAATGTTGCTCCACCTAGACAAAAATTCCCAGTTTAAATTTGTGGTAGGTAAATTCTACAAAATCGCATTTACCTGTTTATGTTTTTGATTTGTTCCGAACCGGATCCCGGCAGTGAGAACACTTTACCTTCGGGGGAAATTATACCGGCTTGTGCTCGAGCGTCTGGCAAACCAGATTCATCGCCGGTTCCCTGGATCCATTGTATTCCGTTTTCCGGATACAAGAACTCCACGTAAGATTGTTCACCGTCCGTCGAAATTACTACTTGGTACGTGTTTAGTTTATCCACCCCATTGTTATAATATCCTACACCTAGAACCAAATACAGCGCCCCTTTGAAGTATCCAAATTTTGGTATGTAAATAAATATACCTTGCCAAGTTACGATGAATAGCGACGTTGCTTGAAAGTCGGCGAAGTTCAGGAAGGATTCGTGGATATTTTCGGTGGCTCTTTGGATTAATCCGGGATGTTCGGTTTCATAGTAGGACACCTGCCCGGCGGTTCTGGTGTCCACGTTCGAATAGAACGGAGCTATGATCGGGTAATCCAAAGGGAATTCGATGTTTATGAATTGGGGTATGTCCGTTTGGAAGGACAAAATACCATTGGTGTTCACCTAAAATGCAATTTTAGGGGATTTTGAAGCGATTTTTATGTTTGTATATTCAAAGATTGAATAAGAAAATTAAGCCTGTAGCTGTAAACCATATTTTTACAAATTTTAGTACTTTTAGATATTGGAATTAATGCCCATTTTATAAATTAAATATTGTCAAAATATACGCAGAGATATTTTTTTTTATTTTTATATATTTTAATTTCCTCACCATTAATATTTCACAATTAGTCAATAATTATCTCAAATGGCAAACATGTCATATCAAACATGGTTTATTCTTGTTTTATTGGCGTGTTTAGAGTTGAAACCGTCATTAAATTATCTCTAAATTAATACAAACACTGAAATAACTATTAATGACTAATTAATCTAATAATTATATCTGTTTATAAGGTTGTTGAACTTTAATTTTATTCAGAATGTAAACGAAGGGAAACGTGCAGATGCATCGTAAAAATTCGACGAAACTGTTGGAAATTCTCGCATTTTTGTGGTGAGTTAAATTAATGGGATGCTTGTCCTGGGATTCCTAAACAAAACTTCAAAAATATAATGAAAGAAAATTGTAAATTTATGAAACAATGAAGTTGGTAGAAGAGACAAAATAATATATATTAATATCTCTAAAAAAAGCTTCATTTACCTTGAAAAAACGTGGTAACCTACTGAAAATGCATTTATTTAATAAAGTAATTTTAGTGGAAGAAATACAGAAATAACTTACTGTTTATGACTTACAATTTGTTTTGAAAGCATGAAAAAAATTAGAAAATGTCACTTTAAATTGACCAAAAATCAGTATAATTTAGCTAAAAATTCTAAATGACTCAGTATTCGCAACATCCTCAATAGTAGGGGATAAAATCATTAAAAAGTTTCCCAAATAGATCTCAAAAAACTTGAAAATGCTTCCAAAAAACACTCCCTTATCAAACACCCTACCCTACCTTAACCTACCCTAACCATAGCAAGGGTAAACTTTAACGAAAACATAGGGATATATCATTTTATCAACAAGAATTACTCACATAAATAGTATCATAAGTATTGCCAAAAAACACGATGGGCTCCTTGAGCTTGACCGCCCTGCTGGAGACGTCATCCCCCCGGGGCAGGGTCACCGCTTCGGGCACGTTGTACTCGTAAAGGAGTCCCTCGGGCAAAGCCACGACCGCACCGATCACCCACGATACCAGCAAACATAACACTTCCCTCACAAGCAGCCGCATCCTCTTCGATCCGCCTGGAACGCAAGGCCCAACACAGCCGACTACTGAATGGAGGAAGTTTATCTTCGAGAAACGGGTGTAATATCACCGGGGTCACGGGTCAATTTAATAAGTTTGTAGTCAATATGTTTATCGCCATATCGGGGCGTCGAAGAGGAACGCGAGAATACTTTAAACCGGGGTATCCACCGACGTTATTGACTGAGATAAGTGGTTTACTTGTTGTATTTATAGCGAATATCGCTTTAATGTGTTTGCTTGATTGTATACGAAATTCGAAAACACCAATTTCTTGATATATGGTAATATGATTTTTTTTTTCTTCTTTTTTTTAAACATTTTCTCTCTAATTCGCAGTAGGCTTTCATTTGATTATAATACAAAGCTCAAAGCTCACAAAACAGCCTAGTGTGATTTAAAGAGTACCTACATTATCTAAATGACCAGTAAATATTATTAGATACCTAAATAAATAATACCCCGATTATTTTTCTACAGTTACTGTAGTAGTTACTATTTAGAATTTTATTTGGAATAAATAAAACACCTTATATAAAGACATAATATGCCTGCTACAGCTATTTATTTTTGACTAGGCGTGTTTTCATTAAAATCATTACAAAAAAACACAAAATGATTTCTATAAAAAATAAATACAAATCACCGAATCAGGACGAATAGAATTATATTTACATAAATCCAAGGGAAAAATGAAGCTCTTTAATTATTCCTCTGCTAAAGTCCTCCTAATAAAATTTATCTACTGGACGTGTCACCTCGTTCTCGCTAGGTTTCTTATGTACTTCAAGGCGTTTGCTTTCAAATGATCTGGTGGACCCAGAGCATAAGGCGGTTTTGGGTTCGTTTTTACGTAATATATTCCCCTCGCTCTGGAATCGAACAACAAACATAATTTATTTACAATTTATAACTGCAGAACAACTTACTTATGAGTGACATGTTCGCCCATGAGCACGTATTCGTTATCATCCGGTGTACACCAGCCTATCATAAAGCTTAGGAGGGTAGGGCAGGGATAGGCCCAAAATCCTTTCCTGGATACTATGGATTCTATGAAATATGGCGTCACTTTCGTGTGATCACAGGCTAAAGTATCTGAAAAATAGTGCAAGAAAAACAGTACAATAATATTCGATGAATATTGTAGGAGGCAACGTACTGAAAATTGTATCACTTCGGCACCCCGGCTGACTAGAACCTCCGTTAATGTAGAAATCGGCGTGTCCTGAAGGACCCCATTGGCCCAAAACGCCTGCTCCTGTGTGAAGGACATCCACGAAATGAGCGTCTGTGGGATCCAGGTCCCTTGAATTGTTCGTACCCATGTAGAAAAATATCGTCGGATCCAAACCTACAAATCATGATCAAATGTCAATTATTTTTACAGTGTAAATTGGCCAGATTTTTATTTAAAAATACTGAAAACTATTAATTTCTATTTAATGTATTAATTCAAGACATTAAATGTAAATCCAGTTACTTATAAAATTCCTCTATAATACAATAGTTTTATGAACTAGTATAAAAATTAATCGCCTATTTAATCACGTTAGTGTTATATTGTTTTGCACAAATATTTATTTATTATTAATTCGCAATTGAAGTGCGACAAGTTTAAAAAATACAAACTTCATTGTTCTTTTATTCTCCAGTAATGGAAATTAAAAATTCAATAACAGAACGTATGAAAGTGTTTATTTAATTCGAAAATCTGCAAATACCCACACAAAATCAATGTTTTATAAAGGTTTGCAATTTTTATTCATACTCGGTTTCCGCTTAGAAATGCAGCTCCGATTGCTTGGAATTTTAATCTTATTTATTGCATTTGCAAACGCTTCAAGGCATGTTATATTGTTGTATCAAAATCCGGTAGGTCATAAAACATTCTATTAGAATTTTCCAATTTTAAATCAATAACCTTTGCATAGTTACAATTTACAAAATGTCTTTAATATTGCATTTCCAATTGAATTAATTACTAAATTACTTATTTATTTTTTTAGGAACTAAGAATGTTTAAGGCATCACCCAGTATATTGGATTTTCTTCGTATAAGGAAAATAATGGGTTTCCATTCGTTAATTGCACATCTAAATAGTCAACTAAATGGACAAGGTGTCGCTGAAATGCTTTGATATGAATAAGCAGCAAATAGTATACAAATAAATGAATTGAATTCAAATTTCATTCAATTTAATTGTTATACACTATTTTTGGTACGACCTAGCTACAGTAAGTGTTTAAAAAACCTTAGATACATCAGTTACGGTTTTTTATACATAACTTTCAGACTTTCTTTGGCAAATTGATTGGGTAAATTAACTTTGCATATACGTAATAGCTCTTATCAAATTACTCTAGCTGTTTAAATACATCGAGATGTTACCTTTCAGGAAGCGATTACAAAAATTAAATTTTCGCCGATTTTCGCCGTTTTCTCCTAATTCGCTAATGTGAAACGAACACGACGATTCGCGTTAATCAAATAAGAAATATCAGGTATAGATAAACAGTCATGTACTTGCGCTAGTAATTACATTTGATTATTACAAGAGCAAATAGGTGAAAGTGGAGCGTTTATTCTAATTCTTCCCGACTCGGAAACGGGCGATTACGATAATTTTTAGTTACAATACGAATTCTCGTACGCGTTACGCATTGTTTCCTAGCGGGAAAATTGCCAAAGTGTTTGTGTAAGAAAGAAAATTTACCGGAATTTATGCCAAAAATAAAAATCATAAATCTTGTTCTACAGAAAAATATCGAGTACTCTTCGACTAGTATAACTGAAAAGGTGGGAGTACATATGCAATGGCTTCTACCATTTATTTTTCATTAGAAAAGAATGCAGATTATGTTCACAGTTATTCTACTCGCTCTGTACCTATTTTCCAAAAAAATCCCTTAATCGAGAAAGGAAGTTCAGAGCTAATAAAAGCGAGAAAATTAATTTATTTTTACCTGTAATTCGTCCGATTTTGCCATGTTTAACTGGATTTAAGTAATTTGCTACCAAACCGCCGATGTGCGCTCCTATGCTGTATCCAATTAAATGGAGATCATCGGCCTTCACTCCTCGAGGATGCCGGGATAAGTAATCTATTAATTGGGCTATACATTTAGCGCAAAACCTCGGAGCCCACGCCATTTGCTAAAAAAATAGATATCTTTAATGCAATTCAATACAACTTAATCCAGTAACTAGTAATAACTAAAACTACCCTAATCAGGTATTGTTGAATGAGTTTTACAGCAGTAATCATATCACACACAATATTATTACAATAATGCGTACAAATTTTTGTTTGTGTTTTAATAATGACTCTAATTAATTAAGGCAATTCAGTAATAGCGGCCTTAGTTGTACTAATTATGCATTTATTGCATTACATAAGAGTAAAAGGTCGTTTACCTCTTTATCGAATAATTTATAACTTAATCCAGTTTAGTATAATAATTTATATAAACAACAAATTCCACCAACAAACATGTTTCGTTTCGTTCGATAATTAATTTTTTTACAATAAATTATAATTATCAGTTAATTTTTATTTCAATGTTTCTAAATTTAGTTGATAATGTACATAGTTTATTTATTACTCAATGTAAGCAATATTAAAGTATCTATGTGTAATTTAAGAAATTATTAATATTAAACCAAATCCTAAGTAAAACATCTCTATAAATTAATGTAATTTAGTAAAGGATAAATAGGTTTTATAAAATGTGTATGTAGATTATATGGCACAAATCTTGTTGGGTGAAGTTATTAATAATTGATAGATACTTTGAATACCTCCTACGCCTATATTAGTTAATTATTTCAGTATAACCAAAAACCCGGTAATTTAGAATTTCAAATCCTCACTATGAAGCAATATGACTTGCAATATTCGTACACCGGTCGCTTTTAAACGTGTAATGATACCTCCGGGCTAAACTATAATTAATTGCATATATGTTAGTTTCGTTTTCGTATGTATTTATTACAAAATGCAATATTTAGGTCGTATTGTTTTGTCGCGTGTCTTGAAGAATAATTCCGAATGGTCATTATTGCGTTCGTAAGGAACTTGGGAAAACAACCAGTTAAGCCATTAAGCGCTTACTAAATAATTCGTATTAATTAATTTCGAAATAGCATAAGCAATAAATCGACTGTAAATAGTAATTTGAATAGAAATTGAAGGATGTTTAAGTGCATTTAAAAAATAGAAAATTTTGTATCATAACCATTCAAATTTCAAGTTCAAACCTGAGAATTATAAATTGGCTCAGAACCAGCAATGCCAAATTACTACAGAAGTGCATGCAACACTTTGCATCAAAATTTCCTATAAACCTATTTCCCTGAAAACCTTCGAAACCGAAATTTTAAAAATTTATTAAACCACTATTGATTAAGTAGCCCATAAGTGAAAATTATCAACAACCATTTCGACTTACCTTAAGGCAGGGTTCCTTGACGAGTGTCCCGTAATCAACTATAATAACGTTGTAATTTCCTCTATAAAAATATGCGTCCCTCATATCAGTGCTGGGTGCAAACATTCTACCTCCGCCGAAGCCATGGATCACTACCTTCGTGGGATACGCTCTATTAAATTGAGTATTAAACAGAGATTCTTCTTTAGTCGTATCGATGAGTTCGGGGTTCTGCTGAGTTCGCCTGCGACAAAATAAAGCAAATCATTAGATTAATTGACGAGAAAGTAAATAATAAATACCCAAATCCCAAAATTCCTATAAATTTTTCAAGTAAACGTGTTTCACAATAATCAAGCACCTACTTTTTTATAAAGATTTAAAGTTTTTTTAGTTAATTAGATGAAAATTTAAGAGAGAAGTTTGTGACCTATATTAATAATTTGGACCAAAATTTAACAATTATTTTCCTGTCCATTAGTCAATACAGAAGATGAGAAGTTTTTAATTTTAAATGGATTAAGCCCAAACCAGATTTTTTACGTTGGCTTTCTCTTTAATGTATTTTGTAGATAATAAAGAAATTTTACTGCGCGTTTGTGTGATTTTACAGACCAAAGAAGAGTTTCTTATCTTTTTGAATGTACATATGTATGTAAATATGCTTTCGTTAAGACGACAACGCTCTGTGATATTAAATTGTACAGAATATCATTGATATCATCGAAAAATATATTTGTTAACATTGTTAATACCAATAAAATTAGTCTTTAAAAATTGCTTGCAAATCTTTACAAATGATGGACTATAATGGACATTTGAACCAAAAAATATCATATAAAATAAATTTGCATAGCAATGGTAAATTTTGAAATTATCCCCAATATATCTGTACACATTCCCCTCTCTTTCCGCTATATTGTATAACAAGGATCAACGACAATTACATTAACTATTTAAAATTTTATCAAATATTGCAAATATACTTAATTTAACGACATAGGTATTCCGTCCATACGCCTGCACCTTGACATTATCTACTCATTCCTAATCTTAACGTTACTTATTGTATAAAATTACCATTCTGGAATTGCTTCACTTTTAGTTAAGTATGGTCATCAAACTTTGTACTTGCCGTAAATCAAGGCCGCACTTCTGATACATTAACAAAATCACGTAATATCTTCTATACCCCAGAATTGAATTTGATTGAAATGGGAAGGTTATTAATTAAGGATTAACTACCTACATAAATCAAGTGTGATTATTTGACGAAGTAGGTAGATTGGTATCAGTATATTTTTATTAACGATTGCATTGAATATGTCTTATGGACGAATTTCAATTGGAAAAAACCTACTTTCATTGAAACTGATCCAACAATAGTCTATTAAAAACAGTAATTTGTCGTTGATATTAATGTGAATTTGAATGCATTAGTTGTTTCATATGTACATTCGCAAGTAACTTCAACCGTTACATTATTAATTAATTTATTACTTTCCCCGATCGAGCCAGTCCTGCGTTACACTCAGTGGCAGTCCTGAATAATCCTTTGAGTTTTGAAAATGTAGCCAAATTTGTAAATGTTAGAATTAATAAAGTTTGGAACTGTTATAGTAGTTTTCTCTTACCATAATGTTATAGTAGATATTATGAAACAACAATAAAATAAAAGGTTCTGATTAAAAGGATATTTTGCATCGGTTTTATTGACGGTGAAACCCATAAATATTATTCAAAATTATGGATCTAGGTTGGGTGTATACACAATTTATAAATATTACAATGGATCAAGATTTACCTTGTATATAGAAAAAATTGTATTTGCTTATGGGGGCACCTGTACGGTTTCGGAATACAGGAAGTCGTGTTAAATAAATCCGATATAGATTCGGGCTCCTTTTTTCGACTTTTTGATTGCTGCGCTGAAATACCTGAAAAAAAATGAAAAATTATGAAGTGGTAGAAGAGAAGAATATTTTTTTAAGAAATTTATAAAAATTATTAACGAATTTATTCAAAATCTACACAGTGAATTACCACCGGTGAAATTTGAATTTTTTTCTTGGCACTTATAATTATTAGAATATTCATTTTTATTATTCAGTGTTTGGAAAAATATTTTCCCTACTAATAATAACAATTGTCACTAATAACAACCTTGTCGTTATTGTAAATAAGTATGTTAAATTGGTAATCTGATAAGACATCTTTGCATTCGGAGAAAGCACAAAAAATCTAGCCCACCTTTCTAAATTTGTGCACAAACTTAATTATGCATCTAATACGTTAATCATTGACAAAATCCTAGAATACATTTGTTTATTTTTATTAAATTTTAGTTAAGTATATCATCGCTTTAAAAGTGGCTTTATCTAGAGAATGGAATTTTTTACTAATTAAACCATGAGTTATCTGCATATTTATAGGTTTAAAGTATTTTATGCAAATGCATTATCTTTCCGCGAAATCGCAAGTAAACGTAAATTATGTTGAAACTTCATAATATAAGTGAAATTGAGATAAAACATGATTATAAATCAAATTTATTATTGTCAATAATATACTAGCAAGTTTCTATTAATCATCTGATGTGGCTTTAAATTTAAATTACCTCGTTATTGTATCTCAAATCTCCTCTATTATTTTCACAAAAATACGAGTTTTTCATTATTTAAAATATTAAGATATAAGGTACCACTTACCAGTGATAACGAAATTGATTAAATACAAATAACAGCAAAGGAACGCGACGCTTTCCCGTCGAAAAAAATCGCATTTATCTCTTTGCATTTTTTATATTCTACCAATAGCGCCGATGAAACAATTTCGTCCGTTCGAAAACGAAAACGGTCTCGATAGTGAAAGTCAGCATACACAAAACGCGTCATGCGACGAAGAATGTCGGATTAAAACTGCACCGGCCATCGAGTTACCAATACAGCTCCTTTAGCTTTTTCTTGAGCCTTCACCTTTTACCTCGATCGACATGTGCTATTCACTCTCGCTCTTTAAAAGCCTATTCTATTGGATACTCTATCGCCCAGTTCAAACCATCCATTCTAGGCTGTTAGAGCATCTTTAATAATCTATTTCTATTTTTGTAAAAACCTCTCTCGTTCTTTAAAATCCTTTTTTACTGGATACTCTACTGCCCAATTCAAACACTCCATTCTAGTCCGTTGGAGCATTTTCACAAGCTACAATATATCGCAACAATATAGTTGCAATATTGCTTTACAGTTCAAATGCGTATAGTTTTCACATGTATGCAATGCAATAATTTTTATTTAAAAGTTTGCATTAGGTTGACGATTGTTAACAATATATTGCATACAATATTTTTAATTACTTGCCATATATTACAACGTGTGAAGATGCTCTTAGGTTGAATTTAGAATGTTTCTTAAGGTAGCTGGGGACCCTTCAAGATGGAGTCATACAATCGTTTATAAACTTTTAAAACAAATTTTTCGCCGGTTTAATCATGTTAGTGTCATTGTTTTGGACAAATATTTATTATTAATTCACAATTGAGGTGCAAACAGTTTATAAAAATACAAACTTCATTGTTCTTTTATTCTTGAATAATGGAAATTAAAATTTTAATTACCGGAATGCAGGAAAGTGTTTATTGAAATCGAAAATCTACAAATACCCACACAAAATTAATGATTTATAAAGGTTTGCAATTTTTATTCTTACCTATATACTCAGTTTCCGCTTAGAAATGTTCCGATTGTTTGGAATTTTAATCTTATTTATTGCATTTGCAAATGCTTCAAGGCATGTTATATGGTTGTATCAAAATCCGGTAGGTCATTAAAAATACTATATTAGAATTTATCAAAATCAATAACCTTTGCATACAGTTATCTCACAGTATAATTTACAAAATACTATGTTTAAAATTGCATTTCCAATTGAATTAATTATATTTTTATCTACTAATATTTTTAGAAACTATCAATGCAGCAATCACCCGTTGTAATGGAAGTATTGCCCGTTCGTTTAAGGCAACTAATTGGTTTAGGTGGAGAAGGTATCGTTGAAATGCCTAGATATGGATGAACAGCAAACAGCAAATTGTTATGCAAAATTAATTTAATAAAATATTGTCTATTTACATTCTGTACACTAATCCTCTACACTTGCAACAATAAAAAAATTGCAATATTGCATTATATTATTGCAGCAATAGTTCAATATTGCAAAGTCGTGCAATATGTTAATCCCATGAAAAAATAATGCATATATTTACCTGATTCGGTGTTACTGCTCGAACTTGATCAATATATTGCAGTAATTATTCAAATTTGTTAATATATATCGCGTACAATCATTTTTTATTGCTTGCAATATATTGCAACGCGAGAAGATGCTCTTAGGGTGAATTTAGAGCATTTCTTAACGTAGTTGAAGACCTTTGAAATCAGAGTCACTTAAGATTTTCTCATTTCTAAACATAATGAAACAGGAAAATAAGTTTGCTGTATCTTGGAGCAATTTTTGCAATATTTTATTATTACAATGGTTTAATGAAGAAAAACGCTTTTTAAGAATACTTTTTTTTTTATTATAAAAAATACGGAACACATCAATGTCACTCGAATTTTTCAATAAAATGTACAGAAATTTAATAGTTATCAATGATAATTATTGTTAATTCATATTGCACATGCTTAAAAAATTCACAAAATAAATCTTTGATTATATTTACATCTCGTACCAGAGGCAAAAAAATATTCGCTAATGAAAATAATTATTTATTAAAAATAGTAATAATTACATAATTCATTTCATAATTCACCATGCCTTGCAATTAATATTTACATTTTCTAAAATTCTACGCCTTGTTTCTAAACAAAATTCATCTTTCGTTACACAAAAACTATGCTATTTATATTTACAAAAAAAAGTAAACTTTTGTACACTATAAAAATTAAAGAGTTCAATGTTCAATACAATATATTTATACGAAAATTTAAAATTTTTATAAAAAAAGTAAAACAATGCAACTATTTTAATCCCAGATATTCAGCTAAAATAATACACTGCAATAAACCTAACACATAAATACCACAAAAAGTTGCAAATACACACAAAAAAAATTATTGCAGTCATTTCAAATTGATGTTGAAAGAACTCATTATTTTAATTGCTCGTTAAATGTTGATAACGACTTTTCATTACGCATTAATAAATTTAAACTTAATTTTACTATCATAAATACAAATAAAAGTCAAACCCTTCAGTCTCTCAGCTAAAAATTTGAACGTAAAAGTCAGTAACATTTTCCACATTTCAAACAATAACCGATTTTTAAAAAGTTACAAATTAAATACAATCATCCTACTCATCGAAAATCGAATGTCATATTTTCGTCCCTGTTAATAATTTATCAATATTGACCTGACTCAAACCGACCTCTATATGCTTCATGTGCACCTCCACGTTACTTTGGAATATTGACTGATTGATCGGGCTCAACTTCCTTTTAATCTGCTCCATTGTGCCCTGCAATATTTGCAACTCGTAAGCGTAGTTCTCGGTTTCCGACATCGACTTGACTTGCAACAGGAGCGCCGTCAAGTCCGTGATTAAATCTAAAATGGAGGGATTCTCGCAGGGATCCTTATCCGAAGCGATGATGGAATTGTGTTTGTCCACGATATCCTTCGCTTCCTCCCTGCACTTCTCCCTTAAAAGGGAGGGAGTCAGCATTGCTGCAACGCTTGGCTCGGGGGCTATCTGTTGACAGTAGTTCTGCATCTCGTCCAGGTACTTTTGAAGATCGAAATTCAATTTCTCCAGATCGATGAGAATGCTGGCGTATTTCCTTTCGAAATCCTCCGGTATATCGTCCTCGTAGGAAATCAATTTCTCCGCCTCGGAGTTCAGGTCTTTCAGGATTTTAATCTTGAGCTTCTTCACGTTGAGAATCTTCGTAACTAGAACCATCCGTTCGAGTAGCTTAGACGGATAACCGCCTATTTTACCTTCTTCACTTTTCTCTAAATAAGGCGGTGTGTTTAGCAACGAACCTGATAGTAAAGGATCTTTCCTCATTTTAAAATTGTTTATAACGGGATAGCTTTTCAGGACCGGGGAGAATTGAATTGCGTTCCTGGGCCTAAACTTGGCTTGAAAGCTTGTTATGGAAATCGTTTCGGGTGCTTCGTTCGATAGAACCTCGTAATCTGGTACCGAATACGTACCTAACCCAGCTCGTTCGAATGTTATACGGTAAGTATTATTCGATGTATCCACGGCATCGATGCTTCCTGTAAATAAACCATCCTGAGGTTTCCTCAATCTGGCTGTAACTTTCGTTCCGATTACTAGCTGCATCGGTACTTCGGGAGGCAAGTCTTTGAAGCTAGTCATATCGGTGGCTTTCCTTTGCTGCAGAGCCCTTATTTTCTTTCTTTTCTTCTCCAATTCTAATCGTTCCTCGTTGAAAAAGGCCTGCGAACATCTTCGAGGCTTTCCCATCATTCTACGTATTTTAGTCCACTCGACTCTGGTTAATTCTCTCGTTTTCAAGTCGGGGAAGGATTCTTTCAGGCAAATGGTGAAATCGTTTTCGCCATCGAACAGACATCTATCGATGTTGCTGTAGAACCACTCGTAGCAGACCCATTTGTGGGCTTTCGGTAATTTTAGTAGATTTCGAAGTCTCATTCCTATTTTTTGGCCGATTTTTCTATCGGGGGAGTTCAGCGGAGGAGGCGACGGCTCTCTAACCTTTTCTTTGGAGGGAGTTTTTTTAGGGCTAGGTCTATAATCGTTTTTCTCCGATTTCACTTTGACTGGAGTATGCCTTTTGCTGGGTGTAGTCTTGTGTTTCTTGGCCACTCGATGATGGGGTGTATTAACTATGTCGTCGTCGAAAAATAGCCGATTTTTCTTTCTGATCCTGGCGGGCATGCCCCTGGCGTTGAGAACGGGCGGGGGCTGAGTAGGGGCTGGCTTTGGGGGCATCTGGGTTCCAACTCTCTGCAATCCTAGGGCTGCTGGGCCTAGGGTGGGCAAGTCCTCCTCGAATTCCATGTCCTCGTCGTCCACTTCCTTCTTTATTGTTACGTTTTCGTTGGTCATAGTGAAAATGAGTAGAGATTACTGCTGGAATTAAAACCAAAATTTATACCAACACAATATCATAAACAGCGAATATTATCAATTTATCAACTACATATCCGCTAATACTAATCGTGATGCACTCCACGAAACGAGATTTGCGTATTTAAAAACGAATATAAAAAATTCAATTTTAAAAAATTTTGAATTTGTAACACCATTTTCAAATTCAAACCAGGTTCATTTTAAATTAGGAGAATGTGAGGCACAGAGAGCGTAACTTACTTTTGTTTATCAGTTATCTTGAACTATAATGTAGCAAATTCGACTTAAAACCGTTTTTATTTTAAATAACGACCCATTTAGCATGAATAAGTTATCTTAATTTTTGTAAATAACCACTTTCCACGGAGTCGCCATATTGACGTTAATCAAGGCGCGATGCGCATAACCCAACCGATGAATTGTTGAAAAATAGCAAAAAATTTACTAAACTGTGTATTGAAATGTTCTGATTTTCTAAAATTTTCACTTTTATTACACGTCTTAGGCCACTAATTTCGCTTGGAAAAGCTTAACAATAAATATAAAATTTAAATTTAAAGTCTGACAAGTAATTTTTACGCATGCCAGGGCATCCAATTGTAAAACGAAAAAGTGTACTAGTTTTACTTGAAAATTATAAATACAAAAATATTGCTCATTTAATAAGATATTTACATTTACTAATTTCTTTATAAGCTACTTTATTTAAATCATGAATTGTAGTCTTATATAAAATAGTAATATTTAATATATTTATTAAAATACTCAAATCTAGTACAGTAGAATTATACAAACGAACGCACAATTGTTAACGGAAATTAAAAAATGCCTTGCCAAAAATTCTATGCGTCAACGTCAGCTGTCAAAACTTTCAACTCAACTGTCAGTTTCAGCCCTTTTCAATTTGACAGTCAGAAAAACGTTTTGGCGGATTTTTATTGCTAAAAGGTTTTACACATTTTATGGAATTATTTTTAGTTAGTTATCGCTGCTATAGGCACACGCAATTCTAATTGAAAACTACGCTACGTTAGCGGCTCGTCTCCCAGTACTGTACCCACGTCCAAACTAGTTTAATGGCATCAAAACGAGGTGCTTCAAGTGATTTGAACCACGACAACTGGAACCAGGAGGATGAACCCGAAGAGTCGGGAACGTTCAAAAGGGCTTCAGATGAATCTTTGAAAGGGAGGGTCATAAAAGCTGCTCGGAGACGAAATCCCATTTCATCCATAACGGTAAGTCTTTTAAATCTTAATTGCTAAACGTTTAAATGCATGCCTTTTAGTAAATTATTGAATAATGATTGTAAAACTTGTTGTTTTAGGGTGCTGATGGAGGCGAGAAGAAAAGTGCCTTTACAGGATTTAGTGGTTTCGGCAAAGACACCCCTACTTCTTCAGCATTTTCATTTTTATCGAATTTAGGAAGTTCCAATACGCCTCCGAAAGTGAACGGAACTGAAGAGAAATCAAAATCAGACATAGCATCATTTAAATTTAGTAGTAACATTGTTCATAATGATTCCAAAGTCGGCCGTTCTCAATTGGATAACGCGAATTCCAATACAAATAATTCAATTAAATCGAGCGATTACTACTCGAAGTTAAAAGGACTGAATCAGAGCGTTTCAAATTGGATAAAGAAGCACGTGGACGCGAATCCATTGATAAGTTTACAGCCGATTTTCAAGGATTACGAGAAATATTTCAACGAATTAGAGAATGAAAAGGATTCCAAACAGGATGCAGCGAAATCGGATAGTAACAATGTTTCTTCGATGAGCATGTTTGTATTCAAACCGACCTCTAGCATCCCCGATAGCACCACCGAGAAAACCCAGCCAGAGAACAAAAAACCTTCAGAAGTTCCCCCTAAAAACTCAGAATCGACCCCTCCTAAATTTTCATTCGGGCCTTCTGCTACGTCTGCTTCAGCTACTCCTTCTTTTAGCTTCGGAACTTCCAGTACTAATTCATCTGGACTATTTTCCTTTGGTAAATATATTTTGTAGCTAACTTACAACTTAACTTAAGACATCTTTTTCAGGAAAACCAACAAATAATAGTACATCGGCAACAGTAACGACTCCATCGTTTTCGTTCGAAGTCAAATCTAACCCTACTACTACGTTCAGCAATCCAGCTCCTTTTACTTTCGGTAATGCAGCCACGAAACCAGCGAATGATGAAGAAAATAAAGAAGCCGATGACGATGAGGAGCCTCCGAAGAACGATTTCACGCCGGTAATCGAAGAGGACCACATTTACATGATAAGGTGCAAAGTTTTCGTGAAGAAAGACAACCAATTCGGCGACAGAGGTGTAGGGAATTTGTTTTTGAAGCCGATTAAAGATAGCGAAAAGGTCCAGCTAATTGTTAGAGCCGATACTAAACTAGGAAACATAGTATTAAATCTGATTCTCTCGGAGAGCATACCGACGAAAAGATTGGGTAACAAAGATGTCATGTTGGTGTGCGTACCGACGCCTAGCACGGCCCCTCCGCCAGTTCCTGTTTTGTTGAGAGTGAAGAGCTCCGAACAAGCCGATGAGCTACTGCAAACTCTCGAAAAGCACAAAAAATAGTTGTTATATATTTTAACTTTTTATGTTTGTCTTTATTAAGGTCAATATAGAAGGAATATTGTTTTTTATTTGGTGGTTTTATTTTCATAACTGGATTCTAAATGATCAATTTTTCCTCAATCAAGCCTTTTTGAAACTGATAATTAGTAATCATACTATTATCTTTGAAATAGTAGTGTTATATGTACTATTTTTGATGGTTCAATGGTTCAAAATTAATCCCTAAGAGATGACAGTTACATAATTTTTTAAAAAGATTTAATACATTTTTGAAATTGCCCCAAGCTTTTTTACAATTTACAAAATGAAATTAGTTCATATTTTTCAAACACCAAAACCACAAGTGTAAATAAAAGTATCTTTTTTTAAAGAAATTAGTTTTATAGTTTCTCTATGATCCAAACAACCCTGTAAAATAAAAAATTAATTATTCTATTCAAAGTTTATGCAACCCAATATTCAATTCCAACAAAACATCAATATAGAACGGATTAATTAATTTCAATTTCACTACAAGCGCGATATTAATGCTTTCGATATTATACAGGCCACAAAACGTATAACTTTAATGATCTAATAAAATTAACCTCAACGAATTGCAGTCGAGAAATATTTTTCATAAAATTCGCTTGAAAAGTGCAACCGATTAGCAAAAGAAACTTATGTATCTATACCTAGCGCTTATTCGCCTAAGATAAGAAGTGAAAGTCTCGGGTGTCATTGAGACCGACCCGAGTCCGAAAGTATTCCTCACTCGACTAGCGATCACATTTTGATTCAGATATGTGCATTTAAAGGTCGATTGTTAAAAATAAAACATGAATGTTTTCGTCAGTATATCGAAGCTGTTTTTATTAATTAGTGTAGTTCTTATTAACGAATCTAACGGTAAGTTAAATATGCTTCTGTTGCCATCGATCGTTGAACTCTCCCAGAAATACCTCGAGGTGTCCGTATTGTTTTCGATAAAACTAAATATTTAGCTTTGTTGTTTAACCCACCTTAAGAACTAATTTCACATTTGTCTCTATAAGTAATTTAAATATATAAGTAACTAAATATAGGTACCTGGAGTAAATAAGGTTTGTACGATCTTTAGTTACAACTATGTGGAGGAGGTTTCATCAGACTTATTTTTATATTCTGCTTCAATATTTATGTACATATTTAATACCATATTTAATTTAATTTAATTGTGTTATTAAGCTTGTTATTTTTCAAACTACTTTATTTTCTACATTCTCTCTACCTATAATATAAAGGGTGGCTCATGAGTACAAGCAAACTATCATATACATGGTGTTAATTAAATAAGTGCCAATACTTCAGGATGTGAATATTTGGATGATTATAGGAAGAAAAGTTTATATCAATATATATCATAAACCTCTTAGTTTTCGAGCTACAGGGTGTTAAAATTTTAGAAAAAAAATATCATTTAATAAAATTTAAAAAATCTTTTGCCTCAAAAAATGCTTCTTAATAATTACAAAGTGTGTACAAAATTTCATACAAATATCTGGAGTAATACGAAAATTATGATAGAAAAGTTATTTTTTTCTAAAACTGTAACACCCTGTAGTAGCTCGAAAATTAAAAGGTTTAGGACATATATTGATAGAAACTTTTCTTCTTAATATCCAAACATTCACATCCTGAAGTATCGGCACTCAATTAACTAACACCCTGTATAGAATACTTCGCATTTAATAAAGTGTTAATTGACCATTGGCTATTTGTAGGTTTGCAAAGATGTTTGATGTGCAGATCGAGAGGCGAATTGGGAAGTTGCAAGGATCCTTTTACTGCAAACATTACTTTGATTGAAAACAAACTAGAAATCGGCATAGAAACAGTACCGTGCGCGTCCGGTTGGTGCGGGAAAATAGTGGAGAGCGAAGATGCTTCGAAACCCACACAGCAAATTTACGACTCTAGGATATATCAGGGACGTCAATAATGAGACATAGTATATCTCTGAGATCTTCAGAAATATTTTTGAGATATAATCGGGATATCTTTGAGATATCTTTATGTCCGCCTTGTAAACATCTCAAAGACGTGTTATTGAGATATCTCAGAACCGTTTAAAAATATCTCAAAGATATCTCGCAGCTTATATACTTAGTGCATCTGAGATATTATTTTAAATATTATTGAGACATAACCAGAATACTAAGAAAGTACTTTATTTTTTCAAATCTTATTAAATTACATCATTCTGTTCTTGCTCGCTCTTGTTTTTCTCTTTCCCGGTCCTTCCTTAATGTTGCCAGTCTTAGCCAGTTCTTTATAACTTCCGATATTTCATAGTCTGAAGTTAGTTCTTTACCTTTTTGACTGCGAATTGAATCTGAAAAATAAAATTCAAGTATTAGAAAAACATTTTACAGTGAAATTGTGAATGAAAACTCGATGTAACGAAAATTGTATTCTATTATTTTTTTCTTAAACAACTTTTGTTTCACTTGAGTAACTACCTTTTATAATTTTGACCAGCTCTAATTCACAAAACATATTCTTCTTCTTTGCTCCAACCCAACTGTAACATGCCGCACAAGAATTTGTTAAGAAAGCTCGAAGAATATTTACAATTGAAGTTTTTGTATCCTTCCCCAACAGAAGACGACTTCGTTGAAACTAAAATGAATATATAAATCATTATAAAATCTTTAGATAAGTAATTTTTATACTTACAACATATTTTCGTAAATTATCATTAGTTTTTAACATGTTGTTGATACGTTCCATTTCTTCAATGGTGTTTACAGGGAACACACTTTCAAAAATTTCTCTGCACGGATCATCATTTGGTAAATCTTTTTCCCTTTCAACAACTCCTAGTTCGAGCGAATTCAACCTATCCAATATTTCCTGTTGCATCAGGGACACTGCCACTACTTTTCTCTGGACGTTTTGTAATAATTTCATGCAGTCCTCCTGGAAGGCTAAAAATTACACAAAAATTGATTTATGTAAATACTCTTATTTACAAATTTACTTACTTATTGTTAGTTGGGAGGGAACTTCCATTCGTGTATCTTTTGCAGGCGTACAATTAACTAAAATAATTGATCCATTTGAAATTAAGTTTTCTATTAAAACGTAGTTAAGAAAAGTACAGTACTCAAAAAGTACGAAAAGCACTCACCTGTTTTGTCAGTTGGAAACGTTGGATATGCAGTATCTTCATCTTCATCGTCTGATAAAGAATATCTTGTTTCGCGATGTTTTATTTGCCTTTTTTGTACAATTGTTGTATCCATTTCATCTTCGGAGCTGGATAATTTTTTTGTCGCCTTGTACTTTCTTTTTTTCTTTTCTTCTTCTGGATCTGTTGTACAAATGTCACTCTCATCTTCAGCTTCTTTCACTTTTTTTAATCCATACTCATAATTATCTGGAAATATATAACATTTTAGAATAAATATAGTCTAACATCTTTAGGGAAAGTAATCATTTTCTCACCTGTAGAATATAAAATTCTTAAAATTTGACATTTTTGCCAATCTATGCCAGGTTTTATTGAATTTTTAACGGCAGCGTTGTATTTAGCTGTAGTTTTAAAATTCGGCCAGAAAGCTTCATTGTCGCTGTTGATCCAAAGTCTTGGAATAAGTTGCAGGCCATCATCAAACTCAACTACGCAGTACTTCTTATTCATTTTGAACTCTAAGTGTTTAAAATGGAACAAAATTATTATTTTCTATTGTTGCCATAATTTAAAAAAATACTTACCTCACTATGGAGTAAGGGAATAACAACAAATGTATTAGCTTCAAAGGGCAATTTCATATATTTGCACCTAACTTCAGTTAACGGCCAAGTTTTGAGCGCGGATAAGTGTGAAACTACATAAATATCAAGTTTAGATGAATCACAGGGTTTGTGAAATAAATTTTCTTTCTTTACGAATTCTCTACCTATTAGTAACATAGACTGTGCTTCAAACGAATAGGCAATGTTTTCTAACACTACAATATTGCCATTTTTGCCCAAAAAACAATTATCAGAAACAGAAAAAGCTTTTAATATGAATTGATCATTTTGTATTGAATGATATTGAGGATTTGAACATCCTTCAATGAGGGGACCACGAGTATGCAATGTTTTATCAACCATGAAAAATTTTAGATTTTTGTTTTTTGGCAAAAGCTTCCATGTTTGTGTACCTAAGGCTTCTATTTCAGTAGTTCTAAAAAATAATTGTTGAAGTGGTCTTTCAGATTTTCTCAGTAATTTCTTTATCGATGACATATAGTTTTCAAATTTGAAAGCGCTGAAATTATCCAATACTCCAAATTGTTTTACATCTTCAGCAAGATGTAACAGGTTATGAACATTATGGGAAACATTGTATTTTTTGTAAATTTTTTCATATGTCGAAACAAAGATGTGCAGTAATTTATTAGCATATTCAATGGTTTCACATTCATTTTGAATACAAAGCATTCTAATTGCAACATGTAGTGTAAGAAAATTTTCATAAACTTTTCTTCTTAAAATGCCGGAAAAACAAATTGGCCCTATATAAAGCAGTAACATTCGAAACTCTGTTGCTTTAAATAATTTTAAGTAATCCAATGAACGGGGTCTTCTAACAAATTCTTTGGGTATATAATGCTTTAAGCTTGTAATTCTTTGTGATATAGATTTAATTTTAGAACTGGGTAATCTGACAGATAAATCACCCCCGGTCCATAGGAGCAGAAGTCTTTTAGTTATACCAAGACATAAAAGGTGCATATAATCCAGTGGAACTCCTTTTACTAAGTCAAAATTAGGAATTTGTTTTAAAATTGTTTCACGAATATGGTATTCTTCGTCACTTTGGGCTCTAAAGCTTTCATCTGTTCTTTTACCACATGTACTGCCAGGAAAACAAACTCGGTTATTTAAAAAATCACCATTTATCAAACATTTTGTGCAGCTTGAATAGCCAGAATGCCCTTTAACGCCTAATACAAAAGACTTTGCTGGTGCATCACATACTATACCTTTTAGAATAAAAGGAATTATTTTATTATTTATGCATAAACCATTATTTATTAAATCTGTACAATCTTCGACAAAATTTGATAAAAATTCATTGACATCTTGTGGTTTTTGAGGACCAAAATAAACACCTATTATAAAAACATTTGAAAACCCTGAAATATTTCCTAATATTGGCCATAAAGAATTGGTAGACGATTTACCAATAGGCAAACCGTCGATATTTATCAATAATTCAACTATTTCAATGTTTTCATTTATCATTATTTGTAAAATTCTTTTCAAGCCAAAATGAACATATTCTCCTGGACATACAGTTTTAAGCACACACGTTTTTGCTGTATGAAGTAGTGTTCTACTATCCAGTGGAAGGTTAGAAAAACAATTGTGATTATGTAAAATATTCAATAAACTATTAAGTGAAACATGAGAAATATTATGTGAGATTGCCCAGTTAGCTAAACTAGATCTTATATTTTCAGCTTCTAACCTGAAATCTGTAGTAATACTGGAGTTGGTCATCACAATATTATGATCACAATTTTCTGAAGGTTCTGAAGATTCACTTAGTGTTAATAAACTGGGCTTAGGAGGAGAAAAATGTGTCACTTCGATACTTTCTTGAGAATTACATTCATCATCACTTGATTCAATAAAATTATTAACAGGAACAGGTTTCTGTGTTTCAAAGTTATTAACTTCTTGAAAAGTGTTGGTTATTTGTTTTTCAGGCTTATTCTTATTAACTTCAATTAAATTTCTTTGGACAAGGCGCCGCAAATGCCTCTTACTTACTGTACTAACTGATTTAGATTTAGGCATGTTTAATTCATAAAGAAAGGAATAAATAATAAATATAAAATAAAGGAAATTAATAATCCAACTATTAAGTATTAAATTTAAAAGATGCTTACTCAAAAAAAACCGTGTAACCGAAAGACATTGCACATTGCAAACCAAAAAGTGAGGTTAGTTGATCGTTTTCGCTCTAATTCTTTATTTTAACGATTGTGACATTTTCGATTGTTAATCATTCGATTCGATAAGTGACAGAATTCGATTTTAGTACGTTTAAATTATAAAAAGAATGCCTAAAATCAACTTTACATTAGGATTTTTGTCATATTTGCTTTTATTATTTGTTCTAGAGAATACTCTGTTATTATACAAGTATTAATTATTTCGAATCTACATATTACCGATTTAATTCTTATAATCGATTAATCGATATAATTTTGGTACCGCGGAAAGCAGGGAAACAAAAACAAAATGCAGGCATCTGCATTTATGTCTTTTTCTAAACTGACCAATCAGAAAACTATTCGCAATTCGCAATTCGTAATTCGCAAGTATATGGAATGCCCTTTAAGCAATGATATATACAGCACCGTAAAGTGTTATAAGAACCAAGAACCAATCAGAACGTGCCACGTTGGCTGTGGGCTCGTGTACAATAGCTAAATAGTACAATAGCTTAGCAGATCATCCCAAAAAATTAAGAAAAAAAATATGTGAAAATATTACCATCAAGCAATTGATAAAGCTGTAACTATCTCAGATACATCTCAGACATATCACTATTCACCAATATATATGTTACCAAGCTTTCAATTTTTTTAAATGTCTCGGAGACATTTCAGAAATTTCTGAGATATTGTGATCAATATGTGATCTGATTGAGATGGTACTGAGAGATTTGATGCTGTGTGGGAAGAAGGTGAAAAATTAAACCCTTTTTTGAATCTACCGGAGATATTTAATATATTTTTTTGCTATATTTCAGAGTACGGTGTGGCCACACAGAGAATTTGCTTGCAAAGGGGACCATCCGATAGCGAGGATAGATGTGCTTATACAAAGTGGAACTACAAGAGGGTGTTGATGTGCTTTTGTAAAGGTGACTTGTGCAATGATTCCAGTAAAATCCGGTCCAATTTATCGTTGATCCTATTACCATTTATTATAACTCTGCTAAGACTGATACGATAAGTAAAGAGAATGTTGTAAAATAAAGTGTTTTCTTTAAGTAAATCCAGGTGCATTCCTGAATGCAGGAACTATTGATTATAAAATTGCCTACACAATTTCTTTATGTTTCAAACGGTAATTCACAGTAATTTAAAAATTTTAGATTTTTTAGATCTTTATATAAAATCTTTAAACAAACTTAAACAAAGTTAAATTGCTAATACATACAAGTATGTATACACATACTCAATAAAAACGACAGAATAAAGTAAAAACATTTTAATTACACATATTTTTCATTAACTTACTTATTCTTAAAGTACACAAAAATAACAATTAAAAAGAAACCTAAATATTTACTACTTAAATGATCCAAATAATGGACGTTCGAAGGGATGTCCCACCCTCAAGGAACCCAAATTATTTAAAGGCAATTCGTTGAGTTTCCGGTTCTCTTGATTCTCCAGCAGGAGCTTCGTGTGCGGTATGTCCTCGAAAAATAGCTGAATATTATAAACATGACCCGGGAGCGGTTTGTGACTAGCTTCCTGATTAAATAATCCCTGATGATGATGATGGTTGAAGTTGAGCAAATCTACAAAAGAAAATATTTCTCGAATATTTCCTACAAAAAAAATAATGAATGAACGTTGCATAGGCAATTTTTTTAAATAACAGATTCAGTGCAACAGGAATGCTTGTATAAATCAATAAATAAAATTGGATAAATATCTCGCTCTAGTCGCTATTCCTGTTGAACTGTATATATTCTATAATAAACATAGTATTATAACATAACATAGGATTTATGTTATGGAAACTCTACCGATATTTTGTTGCGGAACTTGCGTAGCTCCTAAGTCGAACGAGTAAGGAAATTTGTAGTATTTAAAAAGATCATTGTTCCAATCGGGGTTAAAGAGGTAGTCCAAACCGGTTCCAAAACTTCTGCTTTTGATGGTTTCTACTTGCAATTCTGGCTGTAAAAGCGTCGGAGCTTTCCCACTAAACGTTGGAGCAGCTCTGGTAGCACCGGCGAAAACAGTTATCAAAGTTATGTATACCAGCTTCTGAAAAGTATTAAATATTTTAATCGAATTATAGTGTGCAATCAATTTTGAAATTTAAGTGGTTTGATAATGTTTATCTTATTGAATGAGTGCAATTTATATTTTCCCTTAAGCAGTAATCTACTGTCAAAATGTCACTTTTTCGGTGCGTAAATTAAAATCACCAATTGCACTCATTCGATTGAATATAATCAGAGTCCAATAAAATTAGGCCAAATAAACAAAATGTAACAAAAATTATAAAGGCTTTGATTTGTTGTTGAATAATAATTTAATTCGTTTTTACCATTAAGTTACTTGCAAAAATAGTATCATTGACTGACATCAATTTTCTCGCTTGCCCCTGTGCTAACTTATTTCAAAAGAGATCAATTCAGCCTATTCCTATTAAAGTCACATCTTAATGTGTTTCCTAACGGTGAAAGGAAATTCCCATTAAGTACCTATTAAGTTTTTCGAAAATTAGCTAATATCTTAGCAACAAATTCTTCGAATTACCCTTCATCATCATACATTTACCAATAAAACATCCATATAATACAAAAGTAAGAATTTATTTGAAGATTTCTATTTTTTGCAGAAATGAAGTACACACTGTTAGTTCTTTTTTCAATTTAACAGATGTTCTTTTAATAAACATTTCTTTGATTAAGCCCTCATACTCAACATGTTTCATATGTTTGTATGAAGCACTACTTTTTTTAAGTTTCATTTAAATCGCTTTCAAATTTATAATCGGCAATAATTAAGAGTAGATTATAATTAATCGGAGGCGGATTTTTTAATGTCGATTTCATTTAGCAATCAGCAAGAGCGTTATTCGATGGGACTTTCCCCATTATGCAGAATTTTTCCTTTAATTCTGCTCATTACACTAAATTAGCATGCAATTAAAGCGTCTCGTTTTTCAATGTTAATAGGCGCAAAGCACCAATCAATAATTAATTTTTTAATGGAACAATAAGTTCATAGATATTTTCAAGGCTTATTAACCAAATAATACGGTCTTTAGTATAATTTCCACAGGCACAGGCATTATAAAACTATGGTTTTGTAAAATATACTGTATGGTTTTGTATGTAGTATGTAGGTACAATGAAACTGGAATATTCTCAGCTTTGCAGCTAATCTTGATGTAAAGTACTCAATGTAAAATGATGTTTAGAGTTGAAAAGATGAAAAATTATTTTAAGTAAACATTTTAGTATGTACCTATCTATAAATTCGTCTAATTTTTAGATTTATTATTGTACTCCAAGAATTCATGAAATCTTAATTTACTTAATCATTATTAAGTAAATTATTTATTATTGTTCTAAATTTTTGTATTAAGAAAACAAATAATCTTTTGCCCTCTGGCACAAATAACAGAAATAACAAAATAACAGTTCAATAATTGTTAGAAATTCAGAACAATTTGAACTGGAACAAAAATTATCTAATCGAAATTCTAAATGAAAAACAATATTTTCTGTACCTACCTAAAAATGATATGATTCCAATAACTGTATTTTTAAGAATTGAAAGATCTCTCTAAAACAAGTACATACTCCAAGTATCTTTAATGAATTCATGGTAAAGAATGGCTATATTAAACCTTATTCGATCATATTAAATATACAGTATAAGCTATAAGTATAGTTCGATTAGCTTTTACTTACCATCTTAAATAAATCACGTTAACTTCAGTATGTCTAGAAGCGATAAAAGAATAGCAGCAAACAAAAATAAATCGATCGGTGCAGCAATAAGTAGTAACACCGTTCGTGACTTCTTCACTCCAATTTATTTCCCACCATAAAGTCGCTTATTGGAGGCGATATAATTACACGAGATTAGTTGGATCACTCAAATAACACTAAATCATTTACAACACACGGTGAGAGTGAATACGTACCTATATTCGTACATAAAAAACTTATTGTTACTTTTTAATAAAGTTTTCTTGTCCATATTGCTTGCCGATCATTAACTTAAAGGATCAATTAGTTAATATTTTGTCATTTATAGATTTACTTAGGTATCTTGTATCATAAATTTGAGCTAAATTTAAATAATTTCTCCAGAGGTAACATGGAGCAATGCAAGCTATATATTTGCTTTGAACTATATCCGGTGTGCATTGTGGAAGAACTAGAAGGAGTATAAGGAAAGGATTGCGTCAGTAAACTAGGAATAATAAGAAACAAACAAAAAATAATAAAATTGTATTTATTATAAATAATGTATAAAAATTGAAATTAACTGTAATTCCTAACTAAACTACAATTTCTATTAAACGCAACAGAATTTTTTTAATGAAATTTAGGTACCTACTTCAAATAAATACAAAACAAAACTACCCATTTGACCGCTCAAAAAATCACTCGCATTTACCTATTATATACAATTCCGCAATCAGATGGACGACTCGACGTAAAATTTTACCAGCGATCAAACGTACGGATCCACTACCTCATCGTTCCCGTCCGGCCTTCATTTCCTCACGTTGTCCGGCACGTAGTTGTCCTTGCCGGGTATCCCCGAGCCGCTGGCGTCGTCCAACCAAGGGTACTGGCGAGGGCAATCGTTGCAGGTCTCCAGGTACCGGGTGTCCGTGATGTTGATCTCGGGCCGCTTGAACGCCAGCGCGCACTTGTTGGGGATCTTGCACGGCTTCGGGGGCAGGTTGTCGCGCTTCTTGCAGTCCCACGGCTCGTAGTTCCTGATTTGGCTCAGCGGCTTGGGGTCCGTCATCCACGTCAGTGCTTGGGTCACCGTTACAAACCAAACATCAGATCTAGAATAGAACAATCATTCATCATTGGATCTTGTAAGATTGCGATTTGTACAGTGGCTACTTACAATGTTTGCGTCCAGCTTAAGAACTTGTGCAGGCCTTGCTCGAGTTCCTTTATGGAGAACCAGTTGGTGTGGAAAGGCATCATGTAGGGGGCTCTGTTCTGGTCGTAGTACCTGAGGAAGTCTTCCTGGAGCCATTGGAACACCTCGTCTGCGTCGTGGTTGTGGAGGACGCATTGGTCCAGGTAGGGGCAGTGGCCGCCCTCGAAGTCTTCTACGTAGTGGGTGTTCATAGGAACTTCCCAAACACCTGCACAAATTTAGAGAATAGAGAAAAGTGTTTATGTGTGCTTGGGTTAGTTTATTACCTGGAAAGGATTTTGTGGGACAGGTTCCAGATTTGCATTCGTGAGGGATTTTGTAATCCAAAGTGTACGGCCAAACTGGTACAGGTAGAGCGGGAGCACCAATAGAACTGTCGTATATGTACCCGAACTCTTCAAGCACCTAGTAAAGAAATTAACGTTAATGTGAGTATAAATTGTTCCTGGTGTGGGTTTATTGTTAAGGAAAAAACTTGTACTAAACTATAAAAAATATATGTTTAACTCACTTTGTATTGAGTATTGCGTCCTGGCTTCAAAAAAGGCGCCCTCATTCCTACAACATCACTCTTAGATATGTTTGAAAGGTGCTTAAGTATATCCCTCATTCCCACCATTTCTCCGACCCATTCTTCGTACCCTTTGTTTTCCAAACCAGTTTGTAGCCTGAAAAATCATGTAAATGATTACATCTAGCATTATATTGGGAAATATTAACATCATACTGGTTAGGGAACATGGTCAAACTCTGCCCTAGTTGGATACCTATATCTGAAGATCAAATCTCCCGTACAGGGTTTTCTAAAGATAAAATATGTACTAAAAAGATTGTAGATACACTTACGATATAGTTTCAGTGGCTACTTCGTGGCCCTCGCTGGCCAATTCTTGTATCATGTGATAGTTGCTGTACTCGTGCGATACGAAGAACGTCCCTCTGATATCACAGCCGTTCGGATTTTGATGTTTGTTGTTGAGGACTTTCCTGTAGTGATCGTAATTATTCAAGTTTACGGCCCCGTCGAACGTTAGCATTATCATCTGAGGAGTCTGGAGCGATATGTTAAAAATTAGTTACGTGTCGTGATGGGATTTGTGTTTTTTTAATAACTTACATCTTCCGGGTCCAATCCGCCGGGAATGAGAGTGCCGTCTTTGGAGCAAAAGCAGTATGGTAATGTGCATTTTTCGTGATTGCACTTTGTAGCTAGGTCCGTTGGTTCTTCCGTGACCGGAGCTGGTGCTGAAAATGGGGTGTTTGAGAATTTGATGGGAATTTGAGATATTGAAAGTGCTTACTTGAGGCTATGGGACCACATCTAGCTTCGTTTTTGAACGTGCAGAATTTGGAAATATCGTCGAAATATAGTCCTGATGGGCACCTGTTCACGTAAGGAAATCCGTCCACACACTGAAAATTATCGAAACTTGTAGATACTTTTGTTGATAGAAAAAGTTAATATAATTTTTGGGAATTAGGGCTTACATTTTATAACTTATCAATCTTATTGAGTTTATAATTAAGGGCAAGATAATAAACAATTTAAAACGTTTAAATCATCACTATTTCGGTTGAAAATATACAAAAGAGGATTTAAAACGTCTAAAATCCCTAGAATCGCCTAGATTTTTTAGGTTGCAGTTAGGTCGATATTTAAATAATTGAGTGGGTTACCCCATTTAGGAATATTTCTTGTTAAAATCCAACAAGAGGAAGAAAATTTGCATAAAAATGTTTTGCGAAATTCGAAGAAACGGACTAGCTTTTAGCGAACCACCTTGGAATATATTATATGAGCCTATTAGGTACATTGTTGGCAATTATTGCATATTTATGAATACTTCTAACGATTAAATTAATATTATAATAACAGGTATCGTAGTGTGAGATGTAGATTAGATTACTGTTGCACCTTTTCATCATGCTTATATCAGCTAAATATCCGTTTAGTTATTATTAGGAAATGAATACAGTTTTTCCTGTATAAGCTCTAGATTTGTTTTGTTAGATAGAAATTTGTTCATTGGATATTATTCAAATTATTTATTTATTTATTTTTATATTTACCTGATAAAATCTTTTACACGTTGCGGGATCCGCGTAATTTCCATTACCGGTGCTGTGGGGACATTCAAAATCGCCGTGCTTTTTGTCTTCTCCATCGGTTTTTCTTTGGCTTCTAACTGGAAATTACTATGAATAAATCAATTTAAACTATACAAAATCACTCAGTTCTCATCAAATTTATAGAAAATACAACAATAACGGTAAACTTATTCTTCTGAATAGCCAATAAATTTGCATATACTATTATACAAATAATATTCTACCCAATTTTATCATCTTCACAGCTTCCTATTAAATCTCGCTCGTTTTCAAATTTAGAAAAAGTTGGTTAATTTTATATAGATACAAAAAGTTCGAATGGAAATAATGCCCGTAAATTTCCAATTTGCTCTAAATTGAATAAAAAAGTAGAGTGCATCTGTTGATTTAGTTTCTTGTAAAGGTATGCAAAGAAGAATACCTGCAAATTAATGATTATTATGTGATTTCTTCTCCATATGCGAGTGTTTCTGCGAATTGACGAATACGCCGTACTCTCTATTTTCTCTCGGCAAATAAAAACACTTTCTGAAACTTTTCTTTTTAAAGTTTGCGTATACCTATATCTGTATCTAATGCTTTACTTACAGAATGAAATTTACCACAATTTTGCCATAATTGGCTGCGATATTTCAGAAATCTACTATACAGATATGTAAATATTACATGAACAAGAGTATACTAAACTAATATTTGTAGGTGTCAATGAGCTGAGCCAATCAATTAACGCAACGAAATATGAAAGTTAAAAGAAATATGCGAACATACACAATGGTCGCACTTATCAAAATCGCACCATCAGTTTTACTTTCTACTATAACCTCGATTTATTTAAGATAATAAAGCCGGCATGGGCAAAGACGACCTCACACGTTTTCGGAGTCCCACAATTTCGTTTTTGACGATATTGTTTTCGGTAGAAAGCGAAAATGTACTCTCGAAAAGCATCAAAAATCCTCTAAAAAACGTCGGTTTATTAGTAGAAATCTATTTTTATGAAGCGCACAGACTTCTCGCCGTTTCTTGCTCTGATAAATAGAGCAACCAAAGAGAGAAAATTATGAAAAAAAAAGTGAGAATTATATAAATATTCGAACCCCTTTAGGCTCCAGATTTTATTTTATTTAATAAAGGCTTAGATGTAATAAGTAAGTTCGTGAGACTTTTCGCTTCACGCAATTATCCTTAGGTAGATATTATTTATTTACAAGTCGTAAATAGTCGAGTACTTGAGCATTGCATAACTGTAACTGAATATTATTGAATATTGTTCAACACTTGCGAATAAATTATTTTCCCAGGTGCTGCCGATCATTTGTGACGTTGAATATTCGACGTTTTAATTCCGAATAATCTCGAGAAACAAAAGTAAAACTTAAAAATTTCAACAGCTTTGTAGCAATAAATTTTCATTTAGATTTTCACGCATTCAAAGGTACTCCGATTTCTATTTTCTAGTTGATTTAAAAGTTGTTTTTATTTTTAATGTAGTATTCATATGATTTAATTAGGGTGCTAAATAAACATGGTAAAGTATGGATATCTGATGATTATTGAAAGTAAATACAACAGAAAAGTTCACCAAAATGTTCAGTAAAAATTCCAATTTAATGATAATACAGAGTAGATTTTTATTAAATTAAATGGTCCTATCCATCAAGGGATAAATTATTGAAAAATCTGTTTCTTCTATTAAAATGTTTATATTTGCCAACTTTCCTTTTCTGTAAGTTACATCTAAAATCTAGATAAACAACGATAAATTCAGTAAAACTATGTAAGCAGAGAAATTGGAAACGGGAGAAATTACTTTTTTAATACAAATACCTACTTACATACACCTACTAAAATTAATGGTAGAGTTAATAAAATTATAAAACTTTTGGAAGCACCTATAGCCGCTAATTTGAGCGAGATTTTAGTTAATATAATAGGACATTGACTCACAACACTTTCCATTTCCTGTCGCGAATTCATTCAAACAACGAAACCACGAATGATTTTTTCGAAAATTCCCCGTGTATTTTTCGAATGCACTTTTGCGACGGTGGCATTTCCATCGACTCACCTATATTATTGGCGAAACACCACACAAATACGAGAAGAATCGGAACGAACCGTCCATGAATCGTAGCCATATTCTATCCAGAAGAACTATATGCAATCACTGACCACGAATTGAACCGACTACAATTACACTACTTTCTTCTTCTTCTTCTACAGGCTTCTGTTGCCTTCCTTGTTGGTCACTTTATTGGCTGCGAGACTTTCTTCGCCATATCTATGGGTCAAGGAGATATACCGGTTTCTACAGGGCGTTCGTTTTACAATTCTCCAACGCGCCAGCGTTTATTGGCCGTTTGAAATTTCGAGCACGTTTGAAGAATTAATTGAAATGCCAAATACTTTAGAAGAAAATGGAAGCCACGTTATTTTCAATACAAATTATATTCGTTTGTATTAAGATTTTTTTTGTATTTACAGGACTAAAAATCCTAGAATTTTTTATCGAGTTATTAAAAAATATTTCGCAAATATATGGTAATTTGTAGGGTCATTAGGAGGAAATAAAATAATTACTTAATGTATACAATATTTTATTTAATAATAATTTAAATCAATAATTTTATTAACTTATACATAAAATTCCTATACTGGACGGACTTGATTTAACAAAACAAATATATTTCAATCGCTTCTAGATAAATCATGGAATAAAGAATCTAAAGTCCAAATATCCGAGCAGGCTTGAACTTCCTTCTCGGGATATAATCTGCTCGTTAATATAGTGAGATCAATGTTACTTAAATTTCCAATACTCGATTGCTCGTTTTTTAAAGTACTAAACTGGCTGTCCAACTCCTTGTAAGTGGACTTATTTACTGAAGCACTAGAATACAAAGAAAATGAAAATTAGTCGAAAAATCTTCACAGAACATCAGTTAATAATCCTCTACTTATAGCTAATATAAATATGAAAAACTTTTGAACTAAGTTTATTACTTACACAGGCTTGATATCTGGCATATTCAAGTTATCATCTTGAATATCATCTACATCAGGAATTATGGGAATATCATCATCTTCATTCTTCTTCTCTTTTTGAAACCTTTCCCTGAAAATATTAATATTATATTGAAAATCGAGTGGAACGAATTAGTTCGCAAACTTACAATTCAATCATATTTGATCCTGAACTCGATCTGTAAAAAGAAATAATAAATTATACAAGAAATGTAAAGGATTCGAAGATTTTTTTAAGACGAAAGATGAGACTTATTTAAGGTAAGTTTATGTATGAAATATTTTCAAACCTGCTGGATTTTGGCAATTCTTCACTCCACAAACTAGTTTTTCGACTCTTCATGAGTATGTCTTCAAGTTCTTTGGGAGACTCAACAGCGTTTTCTTCATCTTCTAATGGTTTGTTTGATCTCCTTCCTTGTTTTGGTAATGGCTAAATTGGCGTAAAAAATAATGAGTGCATGTTATAAATGATTTCAAATAAATCACCTTTTTGCCCACTAGTAAATCAATATCTTCGTCCCACTGCATTTTGTAAGTTTAATTAATAATTTATTAATAATTTTATTTTTTTGCAATTGTGTTAGTTTTTGTTACCATAGCAACTCGACAACTGTCATTACTGTCAAAATGAAATGGACATCTTCTTTCTATTCAGGAAGAGAGTCTATAGATGATGAGGCTACTCAGCAAACAAGATTGACAAGTGACAGAAAGCACACGAAATTTTATTTTTTATTTTGTTTTTTTCAAAATTTATGTATAGTCCACCTCAAATAAAACGTAGTGTTCAATATTAAAATTAGTGTTCTTTCCTAGAGCCTCTTATTTTCATTTCAGTTCCCTTCTGTAACCCTTTCATTGAAATTACATTATGAACAATGTTGCCAAGTTTACCACCAACTCCTTGGAATATGCGAAACATGGTAGTTCATATTTCTTAAAAATCCCAAACAAGATTCAAACATGTGTAGTTCAAACAGCTATGAAGAAGACCAAGCTTGTTTATATTAGAATTGAAAGTATATTTTGCTCCAAAAAGTTATTTCTCCCAATTCGGTCTTTTGAATATTTTTCGTAAAAACTTCCACCTGGTATCGGCAACGCCGCGTCCCTGACTTACATGGCAGGTGCGCGAACTTCTGTCTACTATCTGTCAGAAAAAAAAAACAAAGAAAGAAATGTAATACGACAAATACGAGATGGCTGGGTTTCGGGATATAGACAAAGCATTATTTCCTATAAAAAGCATCAACACAGTCGTACAACTATTCAGAAATCAGCTAGAAAGCCCCTCGGTGCCCGATCTCGCGCTGCTTTCCATCGTATCTGGCGTAATTGAAAATTCCTTAACTAGCCGGTCGAATACCGCGCTTCAAGTATGCGAACCAGTCGAACAAAACAATCTGCCCGTTCTCGAGCTCAAGACAGTGGAAATATTATATAATAAGTTCCGGAGCATTATGCTGAATGCCGTCGAAGCGAACAAGTCGAAAGGATTTGCTACCAGGGAGCTCGTTAAAAAGGTATCTGACGTTATTTGGAACTCTTTAACTCGAAGCTACTACAAGGTAAGAAAATGTTTATTACATTATAAATTACATTGTTTTTTAATTCATTCGTTATGCTATATTTCAATATTTTAATTTAACTATATTTGAGTTCGAAATTTATTTGTTGTATTGATTAGTATTGGTTGTTTGTTTACTAAACAAATATTTACTTTACATGTATTTTATTCAAACTCGCTTTATCTTCATATAAATGTACAATTTACTATTTTTTTCCAATGTTACTAGAAATAAAATTTGCATCAATTTGAATCAATCGGTTCCATTAAAATTAGAATATTTGTTATTAAATTTATTGTTATATTCAAATTATTTTATCTAATATTTACAGATTAATACTATATTAAAAAATCAAGATTAGGAACTTTACTTCAGCAAATATTAATGCTCGGTTATCGTACGCCACTACTTATCGAATCGATCCAATTATAATTCCTTTCCGAACTACTAATGAAAAAAACGAACGAAAAATGTATTATAGATAACATTAATCAATTTTTCAGGACCGAGCACACTTACAAAGCCTCTACAGCTTTTTAAGCGGCAATAAGTTGGATTGTTTCGGAGTGGCCTTCGCAGTGGTTGCAGGTTGCCAATGTCTCGGTTTCAACGACGTGCATTTGGCGTTATCGGAGGACCACGCTTGGGTGATATTTGGCGAGAACGGAACAGAAACGGCCGAGGTAACTTGGCACGGCAAGGGAAACGAGGATAAAAGGGGCCAAGAAATTGGCAAGGGGGTATCGGCTAGATCGTGGCTGTACGTTAATAACAAGCCGGTGGTTTGTACGAGACACATGGAAGTGGCTGCTTTAGTATCGGCCATTAATCCTTCGTTAAATTCGACTCACGATGCTTACGAGGTGGCTTTGCTGCAACAGGAGCTGTTGTGGCTGTTGTACGATTTAGGGCATTTGAAGAAATACCCGATGGCCATTGGAAATTTGGGTGATTTAGAGGAGATATCCGCTACGGAAGGGAAAGTGCCATGTAAAGTTTTGTTTGAAGAAGCCGTTTTCTCGGCCAGGAATTATTACAGCAATCAGCACGTGTATCCTTACACTTACCAAGGGGGCTACTTCTACAGAAATAAAATGTACGAGGAAGCTTTCGAAAGCTGGGCTAACGCAAGCAACGTTATCCGAATGTAAGTTAATAGAACGACATTATATAAACGAGAATGAACCAAATCGCTTTTTAGGTACAATTATTCGAGGGACGATGAGGAGATCTACAAAGAATTTTTGGAGATCGCCAATGAACTCATACCTCATATAATGAAAATCGAAAGCTCAGGGTTTAGTGCTAATACGATATTGAAGAAGCCGAAATGTTTCGCCGATTTACTTCGTTTCTACGACGGTATTTGTCAATGGGAGGAAGGCAGCGCTACGCCTGTCTTGCACATAGGCTGGGCCAAACCTCTTGTACTCACTATATCGAGGTTTGATGCAGATGTTAGAGCTCAGGTAATTCATATTTATTCGACTCTCCAATGATTATTGCTCTCCGTAAAGATACTATTTATTGGCAATATACAATTTTACAGGTAAACATAGTCTGTGATAAGTCTGAAGAGAACATGTTAATGAAGAAAAATGGTACATATTTTAATAATAATAATAATTACGACAAAGAAAACGGAACGACCAGTAACGAATCTCCGAGCGTTAAAAATTCAAACGACAAAGATAATTCACCGTTTCATCCGAGCATTGAGGCGTTGACAGCGGCATGCTCAGAAAAAATCCTGAATCCTGAGTATTTATTGCAAGGTGATGGATCACCTTTCGTAGGTAAGCACTTTCTATTTCCTTGCTATTAATACTAAATTTGCTTCATACAGGGTTCAGCTTTAATTGCAAACTTATTGAGGAAATTTTGGTGACACTCTGTGTATTTGATATTTTACGGTTATGATTCTTTGCTATGGAAGAAATCTGGATCCTATATAACCCCAAAATTCATGATTGCGTTATTGTTGTAGGTGGAGATTATCCGGAACGTCCTTCCAGTTCTTCGGAAAAAGAGGAAAAGCGCAACGGCGGGCCGAGTACATCCAAAGAGGAGCCTTTGGAAAGCCCCTCGTCATCGAACGGTGACGGTAGTCACGTGGAGACGAAGCCCCTGGTGATTTTGCGCAGTCAAAAGATGAAGCAACTGAAGGATTTGCTGTTGGCCGAAAAGCTGAACACGCAGGCCATTTCGTTACATCTGACTGCTCAGTCTCAGGTGCAGGTAGGCAAGAAGGGTCGCGGTGATAATTGCGGGGATAGTTTACGGCCTAAGAGGACGCGTAGGGAATAGAAATTGAGTATGAGATTCGAGCAACTAATGTACTTAATGTAGTTGTAATTATACTGTTGAGTTTTGGATTTGTTCGATTAGTTTTTAATTTTATCTTTTCGATCCGTATGGACTATCGATATTTTATTATTTAATTTGTGTATCTGATGTTTCTAGGCTTGTACCCGGTGATTTAGTGACTGTGATACAAAATATATGTTGTTGGGTGAAGATGTTAATCTATAATGAATGGGTAGATCTCGGTTTTGGTCCCAACACGATCTTAAACGAATTTTATTTTTTATACTAAACTATTTTATTCTCAGTAATTGTGGATGTGGGAAATTTTGTACATAAATTGTGTGTCCTATCATTTAAGATTATTTTGATTTTTCTCTGCCGATTACAGGATAATTTTCAATACAAATTTCAAATACTTATTTTAGCTTTTGTGCTCGAAAAAAATTACAATTGAATTTTGTACGTGTTCTGTTTTCAAACGCAAATTAAGTAATAAATATCGATAAGTTACTTACTGAAAAAAATTTTAAAAAATACTAGGTTTTTCTCCGACAATAAAAGGACATTTAATTTTTACTTTTTACATATATGGTTGGGTTAATTGTCGTTTGGTACAAATGAAAAATAATGCAGGGCATTAAATTAATTATTACAATTACTGTTATATAAATTAATAGCAAATTTCATTGATCATATTTTTTTTAACATTTTGAAGCAAATAGTTTTAATCATTAATTTCTGATAGTTTAAAAAACGATTGTAATTAATTTCTATGTACCACCCTATATGAACAAATAGCTGTACGAATGAAAAAATTCGTATTTTGAAAAACTAATATAGCTTTTTATTGAGCGATTGAATATTTTAACCAATTTAATATTATTATCCTATACTTGCCATTTTAGCTTTTATCGTCCACAAATTTAAATTTTATTGTTAATATGAACAGTATTATTTGTTTTTAGAACTGACAATTTTTTAAATGTGTATATTTATTTTATGTAATACGAACCCGGTGAATTTTGAAAGGAATACTACAAATATTTTTGAAGTACAATGTTTTCTATTATTGGAAGTTCATCTCCATTTATTTATTATAAAAATTACACACTAATTACAGTGATAGGTATAGAGAAAATACCTTAATAAAAATAATGAATTTATTGTAATAAAGTACGTCTGTTTAGTGAATATTTGTAGAATTTCGTTAAGTTAGTCTCGTTTTATTAATTGTTGCACTTTACACGATTTTTGCAATATTTTTAAGCAACACTTTTACACAAACACTGCATAAACGCTTCTAATGCTTTTTGATAGAATATTTAGAAGATGTTCGTTTTTCTCTTCACTTTAGTTGTTAGTTGAATATTTGTTATTACATTCCTGTTGTGATTAGATCACAGATAAGTCTTAAGTCGTTAATGCATTCTGATGCATATAAATGTTTTATCATATACTTACCAGAAGTTTGTAAGAAACTAAATGCACGGTTAATTCATCTAAATTCAATCCTTTTAATTCGTTTTGATAATGAGTAAAAAATTGTTTTCTTTCTGTAATTACCAGAATAACCTAATTTTGTTTCTTGTAAACTTGCTGTTTGCCTGCAAAGTTCATATCAAAACTTCAATTTTTATTGCAATTTGCTTCGAAAGAGTAAACGGTAAAAATTTTAGTTTTGATACAAAATTTTCGTTAATTGATCTGAAACATAAAGGAACTTTGTGATTTTTATTTCTTTTATTTATTATCGCTTATGTGTTAAGTATCTAAGGTTTCAAGGAATACAAGTAGGAACTTGTGATTTAGAATTTACTAGATATAAAATGTAATAGTAAGACGAACTTAATAATGTCTATATTATTTCGTTGCGAATATTGCTGGAAATAAAGAACAGTTTTTTAATAACAAAATAACGGTTAAAAAATTTGTCTTTAGATTCACGATATTTTGTCGAATCAAATTGTACTGTATATAATTTTATTCGTCACATCACATACATGGATTAAAATTAATTCCTAATGAACCTATACTAGCTATAAGTCGCTGTTACCTCAATAATGTCCCGTAGCAATCACTTTAATAACTTACAGCATTATGTATCAATTCGTGCAATTTTTTACTATAATCATTTGCTGATTGTTCCACATCGAAAAATTAATAATAATGGAACTAATACCTCTACCTGTATCATTTTTTTCTGTAATTATAAAATCATTTTTTAACTTTAAATGTTTGTATTTTATAAATTAACGATCTTAGGATTTCAAAGGGTATTATTACATTATTGATAATTTTTCGTTAGTAAATTTTCATGATTTTACACAGGGTCATATTCAATACGTTGTAGTAATAATTTGTAATGCAAGCCACACAAGTTTAGCCTTTTATAGGGTTATATTTTAAAGTGAATCGTCCATATTTTTTTATACAATCAGCATTTTACAATATCTACTTAAAATCAAAAGTGTAAAATGTACCTATATTGCTTATTTATAGTACAATACGGTGGGTTGAAGTGTAATTAGTACACTTGCCATAAAGGTGTCCAAGAAACGATTTCTAAATGATGCCATATTCGTTTAATAAACGACTTTTCATTAAGCCGTTGATTAATCGAGGTATTTATTTGATAAAAAGATGTCTTGTAGTTTACAAATCGGATTTTTTGGTCATCTACAGGTTAAATGAAATCTTTTAGAAACGGAAAACTTAATATTTAGATGTAAGAAATAATTTAACGTAACAAAAACGCTTCAAACTTGATTTTATTTTTGTATTCGGAGATTAGACAATATTAATATTGTAAGTCGTAAATGATTTTGAACTTTTAAGTTAAATTATAGATGGAACCGAATGTGGTAAAGTATCAAATGGATTTCGATGATGTATAATCAAAAATTTTAATAGTCGACAATTTTTGTGTATAATTCTTTTGACAGAGACACTCGCGAGTTCATCAATTCATTGGAAATATTAACAGAACAACAAATTTGATACAGATCAGTTTATTGAACTCATTTTTTCAAATATACTTCTTGGATTCAATAAGAGTAGATAATTTTCAAAATTTTATTCGTTAGTTTTTTTTGGATTTGTTGTTTTGGTTAATATTTTAAATTGTATTTTAAGGCAAAAATTCGAAGTCATTGTAGTCTGTGATGATAAGGGTGACTAATGTATTTATTATAATTATAGTAGAGATGTATTAGGTATTATTAATACATGTATTTTTCTAACACAAAAATTATGAGAATCTTCCATTTTATTTGTTGACGTTGTATTATTATGAGAAGTTTAACTTTGAAGTTTGGAAATGATTGTATAAGTATTGTTATATTTGGTAGGTTTCTCTTACAGAAAAATCGTATGCTACCTTTAGAATTGTTCTAATCATTTATTACGTGTATACAGGTAGAATTCTACGTACATGTATTTTCACCCACTATCAGTAATAAATAAGCGAATTATTTGGACAAAGTGTTTTTTTACAATACCAATAACACACTGACACGTTTTAATACGTACCTTTATTATAAATAACACAATAATGATGTAATATGAATGAAAATTTTAAAACCAAAAAAACAATTTAGTATAACATATACCTACTAATTTATTTACAGTGACTAATTATTACGAATTGGTGTCCATGGTTCTAAGACATCTTTGTACTGTTTTCTATCTAGAATTAAAAAAAAATATGATTATATGTTAAAAAATGAAAGGTCTACATTCATGTTTTCCAAATATGTATCTATGATCAACTTATTTTTAATTAATAAAAATAAAGTAGAATAAAAATTAATAACTATTATGAGCATGTAATTTAGTAAATACTGTAATTATCCTTATCATTTTGACGTTACCCAAACTTACCGAAAGGAGGAAAGTCTTCAGGATGAAGTTGTATATAGTGTCTTAAAACGGCATCTTTCTCGGCATAATAGTCATTCCGGTAATTATCAACTATGTATGTAATTCCTGCCATAGCTGCGGCTCCTGCTACGTGCCTTTGGATACCTGAAAATAAATAGAGCTCAATAATTATATAATGACTATTGCAGGTTATGTTTACCGCTGAACATCGGTCGTCGAGTAATGTAATTAGCACCAACTACTGCGATGAATCCCATGAGACCACCAGCAATGGGCAAATAGTATTTAGAAAGGAGCGGTTGTTCGGGGAGAGGCCCCGACAATAATTCCAAAGGGGTTGTAGCTGGTTTAGGTCCAGTCGCCATTTTTTAATTGAACTGACTGAGACTGACATTTTTGACAATGACAATGACATAGTGACAGATTGATTGCAACCTTTTAGATGTTGCCAGTTGTAAATTGAGTATTTGAAAATGAACGACAGAATGATCTGTTACTTCTACCGGATATTATTTTGATGAAAAATGTTGTTTGCTATTAAACATCTTACACTACGAATCAGAAAATCTGAAAATGAATAAAATTCTTGTTATTAATATTAAAATATATGACAACATAGTCACATTAAGACGACGTTGACGCGATGACGTCACAGCGTCGGGGTAATCTAATCGAATTGTCAATTATTTCTGGTCTTGGTGAAACTGAAACTATTTTCGGTTAATTTATTATTTACTGTTTACTAACAATTCTGAATGTGTTAAGTAGATCAACAAGATGCGTTTGTAATTTGAGTCAAGCGATGTCAAGATATGGTTAAAATAACCGAAGGCAAACAATCTCGATGAAATTGAGGATATGAGAATTGTTGATTGTGGTTATGTTTGACTTCAAAATTTTTTGGCTGCTGTGCTTTTCATTGTACATTTTGCCTAGTCTATCGGACGAAGATAAAAGAGAAAATGAATTGGCAGAGGAATTATGTATCCTTTTATTAAATATGTTGTAATTTGGCCGGGTCTTAGACTTTGCGTACTCGACAAATTATTCTTTAGTCCTTCTAATTATTTACTGTACAATATTTTCTTGACCAAAATAATATAGATAAAAAGCTATTTAAGCAGCAACGTGTTCAGCAATTATCCGCAATAAAGAATTTCCAAAAATCTTCGAGTTATGAGAAACAATACCAAATGATTACGTTAATGGCCGAGCGGATTTTTGATAACATTTTAGAAAGTAGAGTATTAATCGAGGCTTCCCCTTTCATACCGGGCGTATCCGATTTTCCAACAGACGTCGAAATTAGAGACGCCCTGTCGAATATTTTAGAAAATACCGCTTTGTTCTCGGATATCGTGCTACGATTTCCCGAAATTTCAGCTTCTCTGTTACGCCAAAATAACAGCTGGGATTTAGTGCTGCAGTGGGGCATAGCGTTTTGTGATCAAATGAAGTACCTTTTAGATGCTAGTACTATAAAATTATTAAAACTCGTTAATCAGGAATTGAATTATGTAGATCGTGATCCTAACTACACAAATCCTTACAAAAAGGCTCCTACGAAAACGGAAGAGAAACTCGAAAGCAAGCAGAAGAAAAAGAAAGTTATCAAAAAGGGACCAAAGCTATCTAATCATTTTGAATTATGATTGTAAGTTGATTGAAATAAAATTATTCCATTTAGTCATACAATTAAATGCTAGTCAATTACATAATTCGAAATTTGTGTGTTTGTTTTTGACGTATTATAAATAAACGAGAAAATACAAATTACTTACAAAAATATTTTATTTTATAAAAAAGAATTTTAACAATACGATCAGTCTCAATATAAATAACATGTAAATAATGGAACAATTTATTACGTGACAAAATAATAAAACATAATGAATTACTTAGAAGACGCTTTAAGCGATCCAGCATTATCGATATCAATACAAATTGGATTCTTAATTTTCTCAATAAACTTCAATATTTCATTAATCTTATCCTCGGTGGTATGCTGGGACATCAGGAGCTCGTCTTGCTGGCTCTTTTGATCCTTCAGAGATATGGTGAGTTGCGAGTGTTTGTCTTGCAGCTGAGTCAATTCGGCCGTCAACGACTGCTTCTTCTCCTCCAGAACTTTCTTTTCGTTCAATTTTTCTAAAAGAGATGATCATGAACTGAAGTTAACCTAGATACGAAAAGCACTGTCGTAATACAAAGTATCATCGAATCGCTAACAAACTACGTTTAGATAAATACGGAATTGCCCTAACCTGAGAGTTCCGCCGAAGTTATGTAGGACACGGTCATTCCAGAAGGCACGTTCAACGAACCGATAGTTCTCGTCTCTTTGCCAATGCATTTCGGGCATTGCCGAGGAGTTTGGATCAAGGGACGGTTGTGGCAACTTATGTGAAAACTGCTGGTGCACACTTCACAAGTTGCAAGAGAACCTAGAAAAAAATATAATTTATAGAGAGATCAATATGCCATTGAAATATGTTATATCCTTAAAAAGAGTTTTTCAATAAGGATATAGCAATTTTTAAATTAAAACACAGAGTAATTGAGAAATGGTCCAGTCGAATGGCCACTTAATTCATCCGATTTGACACCGTTGGATCTTTGTTTCTTTATGAAGTTACCTAGTTGAAGGTTTATGCCAATAATCCAACAATTTTAGAGGAGTTCAGGAATAATTACGAACGTGAAATTGCCAACATTCCGGCCGATATGTATAAAAAAGTGATTTAAAATTAGATCAAGAGAATCGATTGCTGTTGTAGTACTCATGGTGATCGTATGAACTATATCAAATACCAATACCATATTATGTAACATGTGTACTACACTTGGAGTAAATTTCAGCCCGATATCTCAATTATTTTTCATTTTAATTTTAAATACAAAATTGTTTATGTCCTTATTGAAAACCCCCACAATAGAGCAAATTTTATGGCCCGTATTCAGCGCCCCACTTTAACCTTAAAGTCGAAGCTCTAACTTGATAGTCATACACTGTTGTTATGGAGTAACTAGGCACTTTTTTTACTTTAAAGTAACCCTTTAGAGCCATGTTTAATTTAAATGTGGGTCGCTTGATACTACCAAACTAATAATCTCCTAGTAATTGAGTATTCTCTGCTCTATATTCCAAATCAATCTACTTAAGCAACAAATCTTTTCTACTCACCCGATTGCTTGCACATCACGCAAGCCTTGTTATCCGAACTCGAACTATCCGACGGGCTGACCCGTTCGATGATGAGCCCGCTGGGAAGATTCGGAATCACCGGGAACGAGCCGAACGACAGCTTGTTGAGCGCCGCGTTGTTGCCGCTTTGGTCCGACCTGGGGCTCTTTAGCACAACCGAAGTCGTCGGCAAAGGAGAGGTGCGCTCCTGTTTCTTCTTCACCGATTGGCGCGTATGAGGAGGCGACGTGGGCGATATCAAGAAAGCGTTGCGTTTACGTTTCTGTAAAAATAGTCGCATAGTCAATTCGAAGGATCGGTGGGGTGTACTTCAATCAAACTCAAATTAACAAATACCCGTTGCCCTATCGAGCTTGAACTATTTATACAGGGTGTCATATGTATATTAAGAGAGTACACTTTTGCCTAAGTTAACCCTCCTAAAGCTATGTCAATCGAGTCACGGAACACCCTGTATACGAACAACGGGGTTGTTGCACTGAATAGTTGGAGCTCGTTTGGGGACATCGATGTACCTGTACGGCCACAGCACAAATAAAATGAATAAGCAAATACATACATTGTTGGTCAAAATATCCCAACCTTTGTTTCCATATAAGAAATGAGGGTTGGCGGTGCTTCGGCGTTTTCGCTCGGCTCGTTTGTTCTGCATCTCCTTGTAGGCCTCGTGAGTGGCCAGGCAGAAGTAGTTGAGGAATTCCAGTTGGGAGATGTCTTGGGGGTCGATGGGATTGACGGCGGGGTGTTCGGGGGACGAGTGCGCGGAGAGATTTTCCGTAGAATCATCGGAGAAGGATGTGGCTGAGGCTGATCGTACGACTCTGCAAAACGAACGTGCTTTGTATTATTTTTGTAATACTAGAAGGAATGAATGGTTCTTACATGTTCTGCTTTCTGGCACGACCCAAAGCGTTCGTGAGATTGAATCTTTTCTCCTCTAGCCCATTTTTGATTAAATTGCTTTTTATGGATTTCTGGTAGGCTTTGTATTCGTCTCTGAGCCGTTCCAATAGGTTTTTCTGGAAGAATTGCGACAAAGTGTAGTAAAAGACCAATCGAATCGATATATTTTTGTATAGGAAAAATATAAATTTTCTTTACCTGCTCAAGGCCGATTCCAATAATGTCTTCTTCGGCTTTGTTGACTTCTTTTTGTAAATCCACATTCTGGAACAGATTTGAATAAACTTTTAAGTCTAGAACGGGGGAGTTTTTTGGTGAATTTATACAAGTCCCAATGAAATTCTGGATCAAGAAATATATAATTTTAAATTAAACTACTTTCTTGAATAATAGTCCAGCTAACTTCATTCGCCCAGTCTAGTAATTTCTGGGTACATTTGCCCTGATTCATATAGCTTTCATATACTTTATAATAATATAAAAAATAAATTCACTTACATAAGGATCTAATTCCAACTTAGCCAGGCAATTCTAGAAAAAACAAAATATATTTTGGTAAATTAGGAATATTATCCTTGCTGAAATAACAGGGGGAGTACCCGTGCCTTTATCTATTCGTATTACGAAAGTAAAATTAAACAAAATCTCATTGTTTTACAATATCAATCGATATAAAAATATTTATCAACAAGTTTACAATCAATCAAAAAATAAAGTTAAGGTAATTGACATAGTTTATAAAAATTTAATAAAATTTACATGACACATCATAGGTATACATAAAAGTTGCAGGTCGTCAAAGTTCGATGTTAATTAGCGATATAAATATCCCAAGAACAAAAAGCAATATATTCCTGAAGTCCATACGATGTGAATGTAATTTTTACGAAGCTAATAAATAGCACAATGACGCAAGCAATATAATATTTTAATATATAAATTAATAGGAAAAAAAAAATTCGAGCAACGAGAAGCGAAAATGTGAAATACAGATGACAGAAAATGTTTGGTAATTCGCAAAGTTGTGAAAATTACATAAGGTTGTACGCGAAGGTTTTTAAAATAAATATCGATATAAAAATTAAGCAATAATTCTTACCTGATGGTTACAAATTGCGGTTTTCAATTGAACCTGGTTTAATTCGATGTCGCATTTTAATTCTTTCGTTACTTCCATCCCGTTCATTCTTCAAAAACTCGATTTTCCAACTATCGATTAAAGTAATAAATACTTCTACAACTAAACTATCATTCGTCCACCTTTATCATTTGTTTTGTTCCTCCTATCCTCATTCATCCGTTTTTGGAGTTTTCCTCTATTTTCTTATTGGTGAATATAGATAGTCGTTAATTACACAAATGTGCGAGCATGAGAAGTCTTTGTTTGCAATGTTGACAAATTGTTCTTGTCATTTGTTTAATTTTTTGAAAATATGTTGCAAATAAAAATTCTTTAAGAATACATCAATTTAAAATTTAATACTGTAGAAAAAACATAATCTTTGTGTTTGAAAGGTATTTGTTATAAATTACTAAAAATTTTAAAATGGCAACGTCGAAAGTTGGAAAGCGTGTTGTTCGAACTAATGTCGCCGTTACTGATAACTAGTACTGTAATTTTGGCTGAACTGTTTCATAGGCGGGACAATTTAAAATTTTAAATATGTTGAAATTTCTATTATACAGAGTAAGTCAAAAAAGAAATAAACTGTAAATCCACGGACAAAATTAGTAGTAAATTTAATAACATTTATTGCTCAATATTTTTCACACAGCAGCCATTTTTCAAGGGCAGATAGTATTAAAAAATTGCCAAAATACTTGGAAATTTATTGAAAAGTTATTGATTAGTCAGTCAGAATACACAATAATCAGAAATAAGTATAATTTTAAATATAAACACAATTAACAGTTACATTATATCTTAATAACACTAATATTAAAAATTGTGTGTATGAAATTTCAAAATAATTACGTGTAATAATTTATTACGTGGTACAGTTTGGTAAATTTTTCTTACTTTTCAATACTCTGGCACAATTTAGTATCATCGTCTTCTCACTATTATTGATAATACAATAGTTAGATCCTAAAAACAAAATGCTATTAAAATAACCAAAAAATTACATAAATTGTTTATAACATATAATGTGAATATTTGAACTTTAATAGAAATAATAGGGTTTAATTGAACATTTAAGAGATAACACGAGCATGTATATGTTACGGATAAAGCTAGATAAACAACTAAACCTAGGTTTACCCGGGTAAAGACCAAATACCCAAAAAAACATGGGTATGGTAAGAAAGGGTAGAGAAGGTTTTTTTGGGTTTCTTGGGTTTCCCTTATACCTCGAGAAACCCAGCCTACCCGACCCTACCCGCATTTCATACTTTACCCGGGCAAACGTAGGTTTAGTCGTTTATCTAACTTTACCGGTAACTTATTCTAAGTACATACCACCATATACTACAACTTCAGAATCCTCCTCAATTTGTATCAATTCTTTTCCATTTATAAATAGACCATGTCCATAGATGACAGAAAACCACTGAAAATTAAAAAAGATATACATAATTGCAAATGATAAGTAAACTTATAATTAATAATAAACTAATAGTAGCTTTTAATCTGTTTTTTTTAATAAAATCGATCCTAAAAAATTGAATTTAACGCATTTTAAAATTAAAACTTTATTACTTACTATAATATACTTTTCCTCGAGAAGGCAATTTTCTTTTATTTTTTTGGGCGGTATTTTATAATGCATAATCGAACATTTATCTGTCGAAATAGAACTAATGGCCAACGACCAATCATCTCTCTTGTCCTTTTTGTATTTCGGGGAGCCCTTATTGATTCCTAAAAGAAAATTAAAATAATTTTGTCAAGATAATATAAGAAACAAACTGGTAAATTTATTTTAAATTAACGGAACAATTTCAAATGTACTCGTATTAATTAGACTCTTACTTATTCTCTGGATTTGCCCTTTGTCATCGATTGTATCTATGACTTCGCACTGAGCTGCTTTGCAGATTGAATTAGTTTCGTTGATAGACTCGACAGCTGAATCGTAACTATTCTCTTTATTAGTCTCTTCGTTATTTCTGCAAACAAATAAGTTTTGATACTTTTTAGTAAATTACTACAATTTAAAGATTAACCTGTTAGAAGGATTTGAAGATAGCGATTGAAGAGTATTAATTTGCGGGCGTCCTCTTTTCTTTTTTACTGCTACAAAAAAACCAAATTTAAATTACAAATTACAATATGAAAAGAAAATAAATGCATTAAAATTTAAACATAATCAAAGTAAGGTGAATGATAATCATGCAATCTATCTTTTCAGACGAATCAATATTTAAAAAATTTTCTTAACAAAAAATACCTGTGCTGGCTTCATCAAGTTGGCTAACAGAATTAACAAAATTCTTCCGTGGCCTCCCCCTTTTCACTTTTACTGTTACAAAAAAACCAAATTTAAATTACAAATTACAATATTAAAAGATAAATGCATTAAAATATAAACATAATTAAATGTAAGGTGAATGATGATCATGCAATCTAACTTTTCAGACGAATCAATATTTAAAAAATGTTCTTAGCAAAATATACCTGTGCTGGCTTCATCAAGTTGGCTAACGGAATTAACAAAATTCTTCCGTGGCCTCCCCCTTTTAACTATCTCCACAACTTTTTCTATAAAAAAAATCATACTAAAATCAGATACTCAGACGCTTAAAATTTATAAGAAAAATGCACAAACATAAATTTATTGAAATCCTAAAACTAAATTAATGAAGAATATAGAATTCCGAGATATAAATATAATCAAACATTAGTTGAATACTCATTGTGAAATTCACCTTTTAGATGAATTAAAGGTAATAAAATTTCTTTCTTTTTAATATACCTGGACTTGTATCATCAAGTATGGATGGTTTTTCAGATTTTCTTTTTGTTTTCTTCTTACTTTCTTTATTGATTATGGTCAAATTTTCAGTAGCATCCTCAAGCGAGGATGGTCCTTCAGATTTTCTATTCTTTTCACGTCCTTTTTTGATTTTAGTCAAATTTTCAGTAGCATCATCAAGCGAGGATGGTCCTTCAGATTTTCTTTTCTTTTCACGTCCTTTTTTGATTTTAGTCAAATTTTCAGTAGCATCAACCTCCAAAACTGAAAACAAAACACAGAAATATCATTTTACCAGGTGTACTAGATTGCAGAAATCACAATAAATCTTTAATGCTCACAACTTAGGTATAAGGGTAAGTGAAAATTTGTTTGCAGTATGGTCAATTCTATGAGTTGAATAAAGAAAGACTATTATAATAACAGTGGTCAGAGTGAGAAAGTTGCAATCCCACAATATCACTCCTTCTTTTTCCTTTATATGCAAGACTAATGGATGTTGTTTTTGTGTGCCCTTGGCCTATATAGCAAACAATTTTTCATCTACCTGTATACAATAAGAATAACTCATGTTAAATAGCTACAGGGTGTCAATGTTAGAATATTGACTCATTTTGTCACTTCAGTGAGTCACAGCTCCCCATTACATTTTTAATGTTTCTGTATGAATTAATACTTATTACTGAAGAAAAGCACCTTTTTTAGAACGCAATTGTCGGTGTGGGAGTTTCTGTTCATTATTATCTTCATCAGTCCCACTTTTACTGTGATCGACAGTTTCTGGAACTTTTTTGTGAAACAAACTTTTCGATTTCTCATTTATTTTCATTGGTTCTTTCGAACCGTTGGGCGCAGTCAAACAGGCGTTTTGCTTCTGAGACAAAATTTGAATGGTCTTCTCCAATTTGCTCAATATTCTATTATCGGTCTTCTTCATTGTCGTAAAAGTTTTCATTCTCTCCGCAAAAGTGTTGCCTGTTTTATTGCCTTTCTCCAAAATTGTACTAAATTCAACCGTATCTCCATTGAAGCTATTTCTGTAGGCACCAGAAGCTTCTGTTGTTGCAGTACTACATAAGAAGTCTAGTTTTTTTACCCTCATTGAGGGTTGTGATTTCTTTGATGTAGCTGGTATCTTTTTCATGATCTGAAAGTATATTAATAAGGTGAATTAGGAGCTTATAAAGGGAGAATATTTAATACCTAATATTTAATATCGGTATCATAGTGGTAATTGTTATTGTCTTTTGATTTTTTTAGTTTGTCCTCTACTGTTTCTAGCCAAATGTAAATACAAAACCTAAATATAAATATAAGTACTTAGTGTTGATGTATCTTACACTCGTTACCCGCCAAGTAATAATTAAAAAACCAACAACAACAAGAAAAATATTAAAATTTTCGAATACAACGAATTAAAAATGACAAATGACAATACAACGGATTCCACTTGACGGGTAGTTGAAGTACGTTCATACTTGTTGACCTGCAAATATGCCTAATTTGAATACATGTCTTTCCAAAAACAGTAAACATCTATAAAGTAGGACAAATATTTAAATTACTAAATTACGAACAATTGGGCACTCGTAAATCAGTATTTCTTTCAGAAATTATCTGCATTATCTGCAAGAGATCGGAACGCACCATTACCTGTCATCAATGAAGTGCAACAAGTGTCAGTTCTGTCGCCTGTCAGTTGTCGCTGTTGCGCGGTTTTTTACGAAGTTAACGTTGTTTTATTTGATGAAGCCACAATAGACTAATTACTTTTTTGTCTACAGAAGCCATCAAATTTGTAAAGATAAGCGAAACAATAAGGCTAATTTACGAACCAAGAAAATCCGAACCTGTAGCTGAATTCCTATTTTGTTTGCCCGATAATAGTGCTCGAACGCCCGTTGAAAGACTCCGAAATCTGAAAACTACTTTCTGTCATTTGTCATTGGTCGGCGTTTACATTCGGCTGTGATGATTTAAATAATTAATATAGGGGTATAGAAATATGTATTTTAATCCAAGTTAATATCTTTCTGGATGTCGATAAATAATAAGGTTTGAAAATAATTATATTTCACCATGAACCTTTCTAAAAAGCGCTGCTTTTTCTGCTTTAATACAAGGACTATCTCAGATACCAGTCGTGACATATTTAAACGATTAAAAGGAATTTTTAGCGATTCAAGCACCGACATAATTGAGGTATTTACTATAGATTACTTTTCTACACGCAATAAATCATATATAGAGTTATTCTACTTCTTACTTTCTAGATAGAAGACTTGCAAGATCTGAACGTTTGCCCTGTGTGTTATCACAAACTGAAGATATTGAGCACCATCAAAGAAAACATATCAAGTTCAAATATTAATAACAATAACGGGTGCATTTTGTGCACCTCTTCCGATGAAGTATTTGATGGATCTCAGTGGGATTTCTTTGAAAAGATTAGTTCAGATTTCAAGCAATTGTCCACTAACTCAAGTTCAAGAACGTGTTCGGCTTGTATATATTTTCTCGATGTTAGATATACTTTTAAAAAAAAATTGTTGTCTAAGCATGTAAGTATCCAAGTCAATGTTTAATTAACATTAAATTGTATATTACAGATTATAGAGAATGCACTTAAAGTTATGATAACTATGGTTAAATTTTACTTAGGCTATGCATTCTTATTCATAACTATTTTAGTATCATATTTACAACATTTTACATAATTTATATTCATTAACTAGTGATTTTTATTTTTCAGCCTAACTCAAGGAATAAAAAGGAAGATTGTGAAAATGGAATTAATAAAAATAATATAAAAAACAATAACAAACCCAAAGGAATTGATTTACAATTAAAACCTTTAAAATATGAAAAAGAATTGGTTTTACCGAAATCAGTTTTAAATGATACAAAATTCGTGAATCAAGTACTTATTGTTAAATTGGAGAGAAATGACTGTGATGTAGATAATGAATCTAGCAACACGCACAACGATCGAATAACTACTAGGACATCACCTCGCACTTCATTAAGGACACAACCGTCGCCTTACATTAAAAAGCCATTTTTTAAAATCAAATTAAAAGCATTTAGCAGCGCTAAAAAAGCGAAACAAATTAAGGAAATTAACATTTTGCAGAATATACAACTCACTGCTCCAAATAAGGAATTACTGATTAAATTAGTTCCCTTAAAGTTGCCATTACAAAGTGACATACCACCTAATAGACTAGAAAATGTCGATCTTAAAATTGCTTCTGATTTGGGTGCTATTGGTGATGAAACAAAAATGGATGAAAATGAAATCCCTGAAATTGAGATTAGTGATGATGAAATGACACTACAAATAGTTGATGAAGAAACCAATACTAGTGATCAAGATGAAATAGTGATCATCACTAATGGAGGTGATGAAAAATCCCAAAACAAGAGTGATGTTATCGACGAAAATGGAGAAATTGGATCTAGAAATTTTGAAGAAATCGGATCTAAGATGGATGAAGAAATTGGATCTACAAAGATCGAAGAAACCAAATATACAAAGAATGAAGAAATCACATCTACAAAGAACGAAGAAATCAAATCTACAAAGAATAAAGAACACAAATCTACAAATAACGAAGAAATCAAACCTAAAAAGGATCAAGAGGATACTGAGAAAAACAGTGATTTAGACACAAGTAACAAAAAACAGTTGTTGGTTTGTCTAGAAGAAAGTAAGAATCAGCAGGCAAATAAAGATGATTGTATAGCCGGAAAACTAAATACCTCCACTGAAAGTTTAGATGTAATAGAGAAAAACGGTGACGTTCAAGTATCTGATAAAGCTATTGAAGACGATATTAATGAAGCATATGCAGAAAAGAAAAATGAGGAAGATTTAGATAGTGATAAACGGGTCCTCGATGAAAACGACTCTATTGAAACGATTTCACAAAATACTGTAATAGAAAACGAGGAATACAACAAACCAGAATCTACACAAACTAATCATGAGACCAAGGATGTGGAAACCGAAGAAAATGTAGAAACGAGTGACGCAGAACCAACTACAGAAGAATACGACGTTACTCCAAAAACACAGATCGACAAAGATGATACAGAAAAATGTGTACTAATAACTGAAGACGACGTAAAAGATTCCAATACAGATGATGAAGAACCCATAGAATGTTTGGAAGATGAATGTTTGTTACTAGGAGTCAATACACAAACACTCGACAAAAAAAGCAGCAATGAGAAAGATACTAGTAGTTCAGAATCTCTTGATTCAAATGAAATATTTGAATCCAACGAAATTACAAGTTTACTCCAAAAATATGGTACCAAAAATGAAAAACAAACGGATAGTGATGACTTAAAGGAACCCACAAATTCTAGTAATAAAGAAAAGGTGATTGAAGATGCCGTTGAAGATCAATCTGAACTAACTAAAAATCTCATCAAAGATGATCTCAAGAAAGTAGATGATACAGTTGAAAAAAATCCTGATGATAATGAAACCTTCGGTAAAGATTTTAGTAATTTGAGTAAATAAATCCTTTTCCGGATTGTTAACTGTTGTAAAATCAGTTTTTTCTATTTCAGGTTTAGCATTTACGATTTCAAGCGATAGCGAAGAGAGTCAAAACAGCGACAATTCTAAAACTAAAGAGTCTTCAAGTTTGGTTAATAAATGTAAAGAAGTATTTTAAAATTTAATTTTGACAGTTTTTACAATATTGCGATTTATTATAACGCCTCGTTCTAATTTACGAGTTATTAAAGAAAAAAATTCATTACTTTATAGATCGTGAGAAATTACCCGAAACGTCTACTATCAAAACCGAAAATAAACCAACAGAGGATAGCGACAGTAGTATTAATGATTACAAAGATGATAAAAAGAAATTTGAAGTCAAGAATAGAATGGATGCCATTTTAGGTATGAATGAATTAATTTTTTTGAGTTTATTACTGGCTTGTAATAAATCAAGTATTTCTTGTTTCTGTAATTAATATGTGCATTTTAGTGCAAATTTATATGCAATATGGGCTATGGGTGCAACAAGAACATGCATTTCCGTTACAGTGCTAGAGGATCGCAATCTTTTCACTCTAACCACTTATTTTAATAAATCTTTTTTGATCATAGATCTTATAGAATTGCACTATATTGCAAACAAATTTGCGCTTACCCATATAACATATATGTTAATATACAGAGTGTCCCACCGAAAAGTAGCCCATTTAATCGGCACGCAATTTTTAAACGCCAATAATAAAAACATTCGGTTTTCGATGATATGTTTTATTTTGTTATAAGTCTTGTTACAATAAGACAGACATTTTGTATCACCTGTACAGGGTTTCTTATCAAAATCCCCTCTTTTCAATTGACATTAATAAAATTTTATGAAATGGGACACCTTTTTGTAGAATAACATGTACAAATAATACATTTTTGGTGTTCCATTTAAGAAAATTTGGTTACCGTGAATTTAAAAGAGGAGATTTTGATAAAACACTCTGTACTCTTAATACATAATTTATGTGTCCTTGTAATAAACGTTCCAGCAAAATAAAATAAATCAGCGAAAACTGCATGTTTTTTATGATTAGGCGATTAAAAGTTATAAGCTGATTAAATGGGCTACTTTTCATTGAGACAACCTGTATTTTGCTTTAACTTCCTTGTACTTTTTACTAATCATAACTTCCAGCTTTTTCTCATTACTAATTTAACCGTTGCTTCAAGCTCGTGCATTATAATTCTTTGGGAAGAAAATTTGTACAAGAAATAATAATAAACTTTTTCTATTCATTTTAATTTCCAGACGAAAATGATAAGTATTCCGTAGATGAGATTGAAAAAAAATTGGCTTCATTTGAGAGCGAGGATGAAAGGTCGAATAATATGGACGATAAAGAAAAGGAAGAGTCGAAAAAGAGAAAACGCGAAGAGGATTTCTCTCCGCACGTAAAGAAGAAGAAAAAAGTCACTTTTGGGGAAGGTACGATTTACGTCTTAAACGACGATTCATAATTGTTTTGCAATAAGTATCCAATTGCGACTAGAATTATTACATTATATTTCAAACAGGTTTTTTTTTTGAAATATTTCGATCGAAATCTTCGTGTTTATATTGTTGATTAGTTTATAAAATTAACTGTAAAAGGCGTTCTCATAATTGTATTACTTTTTCAGTTGGTAGTCTAATTATTAGAAGGCAAATAATCATGTTTAAGTCGAATTGTTTATTATATAATAACTGCGTTAATTATATTAAATATTTTTACATACGTTTATTTAAGTGAAATATAAATTGTTCACGAATGAATATGATTGTTGAATGTGTTGTAGTAGATGGTAAAGATAAATTCGGCTTTCTCTGAAAAGTTGGCCATGAATATTGAAAATTGTGTTGGTAACAATGATTTGTTTATCTACCTAAGTTGGTTTAATTGTAACAAAATATATTTCGCTAATGAATTAAATAGGTACTGTTTTTTCAGTGTTCAGTGTTCATTTCGGTTTCTTATAATATGAGGTTTTGAAAATAGTTTAAATTTTTCTTATCAGTCTCGGGTGAATTTCGCTTTTTTGTCATTTTTTTCATGTTTAAAAGATGTTAAAAATTATGGAGTTTGAATAAAATGGAATAGCCTAGAAATTAGGATTCTACAAATCAGTAGCCTAAGAAGGGCGAATGTAAGTAAATTGAAATATTTTTTGAAATCACACGACTGTTGAGATTTTTTAAAATTACAAATGTATGCCTGTCAATATGTAAAATGTCAAACGTCAATTACAGGTGTCGTGAATAATACACAAATTCTTTAATAAAATTGTTTATTTTAAACCATAAAAAATCAACGAATTTACATACTACAATTATGAGGCCACCTTGGAAAAGGTATTACATCTTTAATATTCGTTATGCCAGTTACAAATAGCAAATATCTCTCGAAACCCAAGCCGTATCCACAGGTTGGGACTCCGCCAAATTTCCTTAGGTCAAAATACCACTTGAGCTCGTCTGAGTCATTTGGTATATTTCCTACTAATTTATTGAAATCGTTTTCACGTAAACTTCCTCCGACCACTTCCCCGACATCAGGAACGAGTAAATCTAATGCCTGTACCTAGAAAAGTTGTGGATAATTATACCAGTAAATTAAAATTAAGAGTGTAGGTACTTTTGTATTATCACCAGGACATTCTTTCATGTAAAACGGTTTGATATTCTTGGGCCAATTAATTACAAATACGGGAATATTTCCGCAATGCTTTACTAAAAACAATTCGTTCTCTTTGGATATGCTATCGATCGGATTGTACTCTTTTCCTTCTTTTATTAGGATGTTTTCAGCCTCTTCGTATGTTAATACAACAAATTTTTTATCCATCCAGCTAAAATCTCGTTTATTTTCTTTGTTAAGATTCATAATATCGCTTTCGTTAGAATCAAGAAGCATTTTTGTTACGTTTTGTACTAGGTCCTCGACACAAACTACTAAATCTTCGAGGTTTTCTAGAAAGGCAATTTCCGCTTCCAGCATATAAAATTCGGCCAAATGTAACCTACTTCTCGAGTTTTCAGCCCTAAATATCGGTCCCAAGTTGTATACTTTTGTTAATGCATGAGCTGCAGATTCCAAGTGCAGTTGGCCCGACACTGATAAAAAAGTTTTGCCATTGAAAAAAGCTTCTTCTGGTGACTGCCCTAAAACGTTTATATTAAAATAATGTTAATAATTAATTAGCATGTTTATACCTTCTTTTTTCATTGATTTTATCAGCTTTTCATTATCGGGAATCACTTGAAAAATCTCCCCTGCTCCTTCGCAATCATTTGAAGTTAAAATTGGCGTGTGAATGTTAACATAACCTTGGCTGGTTAAATAATTGTGAAAATGGCATTGAGCGGAACTTCTAATTCTTAATAACGATGAAAACTTATTAGTCCTTGGTCTGAAATGTAAATGTTGTCTTATGTATTCGGAAGTATACTCTTTTCTGGGGGCAAATGGATAGCCATCTGTAACAATACAATCGCCGTAAATTGATATTTCTTGGGCATTTATTTCTTTTTGTCCTTTAGGAGAAAGCTGAACTACTCCGGACGTACTGATAGATGCTCCTGTAGTTAAATTTTTAGGCACTAATTTCGAACCGACAATTATTTGCAATTTCTGATTAGTTGAACCGTCGCTAATATCTATGAAAACGTTCTCTTTTTGCTTCCTTAAAGACCGTATCCAACCCTAAAAGTATTTGAAAGTGCATTAATTTCATTTATAGCTGGGTTGTAGTAAGTGAACCTTTGCGTTAATTTTATCTCCAACGCTGGTACTTTGTAGAATTGAATTAATGCTCAATTGTGAAATTTTCCTTTTGAAATCGTGTATTAAATACTTATGAAAAAGTTTGAAATTCATATTTTTAAACATTTTGAAAAGTTAGGTTATGATCTTGTAAATGTCAATTTTAATTCTTCTTCTTTTTTCAACAAGATAGATACTTCAACTTCTATACCTATTCGGTCTAAATACTTCTTGGTGTACATTAGCTTATGCAGTAATAGGCCAAATAATGAGAAGAAGAAATAACTAATATTTTTCAAAAAAATTATCACAAATTTCTTGTTTGTTGAATTTATAACATGTTGGTTGTTATCATTTACTATTGTGTTATTTAACCTTTCGCCCTTTTCGATCATTTCGTAAGTATGACTACAACAATGAACCGAATATGTTTCCAATTTATTAGAAAATACTCGCAAAGTACCAACAAGTTAATTATTTACGAGCAATTAACTGGAGAAAGAAAAGGAATCTCATTGATTGGATTTAACAGACCAAAGCAGAGAAATGCCTTGAGCAAAGAATTGGTTGAAAATTTGAACAACATTGTAGATCAAGTGGCCTGTGATGATTCCAACAGAGTTGTCGTTTTGCACAGTTTGGTTGCGAAGACTTTTTGTTCAGGTAATTAAGAAACAGATATTTCATTTTTGTTTAATGAAAGTTTATATATTTATGCTTTAAAATTATTTACGTTGGCATAATACGAGTATTCTTGTTTTTAGGAGCGGATTTGAAAGAACGGCTGGGGATGGATCAACAAGAAGTACACCATTTTGTGAAAAAATTAAGAGGACTGTCGCATAAAATTTACAGCCTTCCAGTGCCAGTCATAGCCGCTATTGATGGAGTAGCTTTAGGTAAATTTATCAGTGGTTAAAACCTTTTTATTTTCTATAGTAAACAGGTGATATAAGCATATAAAAGTACAAAATTGTTTGCAGTATGGTCTGGTCAATTCTACGAGTTAAACAAAGAAGGATAAAGATAACAGTGGTTAGAGTGAGAAAGTTGCAATCACACAATATCACTCTTCTTTTTTCTTTACATGAGACTAATTCAAGTTGTCTTTGTTGCACGCATATCCAATATTGCAAACAAATTTGCATCTACCTGTATGTAAGCAGAGGATTTTTTGAATTCCACTCGATACTAGAAAAGGGACTTTATTTAGAAAACTTTACTTAGGATATTTTAGAGTAAATTTCAAATTTTCCATAAATCACACACGTTTTATTTCCTCATTCTGATATAATTATATTTATACAGGGTGACCCAGGGTCGCGTTAAAGTCCCATAACTTTTTACCTAATTGAGATATCGACTTGATTTTTTTTCAAAAGGTAGGTACAATAATACTGCGTATTATTAAAATAGTTTCGTCTATACACAGGGTGGCTTAGTATTAGAAATTCACTAAAGTTACCTTTTTTTTAATGGAACCCCCTGTATATTATAACATTTTTGATTTCTTTAGTGAATTTTAGTGTGACTTTATGTACCATACATTGTACCTAAAACCAATCGTTTAGTGGTAATTCGACATTTTCGAAAAAAGTAGAGGTTTGAAAAAAAATGAATATTGCCGCTTTTGTAAAACTTAGGAGGTCGTGACTCTGGGTTATTAGTAAACATGAAATGTACTACTGTGTGACATGGATTCAGAATTGAATACTGTTTGTGTTCTTAGATATGGATAAGCAAATTTACAAAATTTCAATTAAAGGTAACTTGATTTTTTTAAATGAAACTACCTACTTTTTTGTACACCATCTTGTAGGAAATTTTATTGCCTTTCTAACGATATAACATTGTCAATATTTTTACCTGCTAGTTTTCTCTTAATTCCGGAATTTCTTATAATTCGCGGTAATTTTCAATTTTCAATAGTACTGTTCAAAGTGGCTCAATTTAGTAAATTATATTAAAATAAAAAAAAAAATTTATAAAAGATAGTGAGTTATAAAAAAAGTATACAGATCAATCAATCAACTACAATTTATTTGATTATAGGGAGATAATGATAATGTACAAGGAATAATGTAAAGAACAGTTTTTTTTTTGATAGCACAATAATTTTTCTTACAGTAGATGTTCAAAGATATTGCTATTATGTTCGATTACGTCTTCTTAAAAACTAATTTTTAAAGCGCGTTAGCATGTTTTAATCAATTGATCGAAAAGCGTCTCTTATCCGGATCTTCATGTCGTTAGCTGTTGTTGGCCTGCCCGTTCCCGCGATTTGACACCAATTGACTTTTTCCTATGGGGATTTGTTAAGGACAATGTCTATAGTGTTAGGCCAACAACAGCTAACTACCGCGAATACTACTAAATTACCGCGAATTATAAGAAATTCCGGAATTAAGAGAAAACTAGCAGGTGAAAATATTGACAATATTATATCGTTAGAAAGGCAATAAAATTTCCTACAAGATGGTGTACAAAAAAGTAGGTAGTTTCATTTAAAAAAATCAAGTTACCTTTAATTGAAATTTTGTAAATTTGCTTATCGATATCTAAGAACACAAACAGTATTCAATTCTGAATCCATGTCACACAGTAGTACATTTCATGTTTACTAATAACCCAGAGTCACGGCCTTCTAAGTTTTACAAAAGCGGCAATATTCATTTTTTTTCAAACCTCTACTTTTTTATAAAATGTCGAATTACCACTAAACGATTGGTTTTAGGTACAATGTATGGTACATAAAGTCACACTAAAATTCACTAAAGAATTCAAAAATGTTATAATATACAGGGGGTTCCATTAAAGAAAAGGTAACTTTAGTGAATTTCTAATACTAAGCCACCCTCTATATAGACGAAACTATTTTAATAATACGCAGTATTATTGTACCTACCTTTTGAAAAAAAAAATCAAGTCGATATCTCAATTAGGTAAAAAGTTATGGGACTTTAACGCGACCCTGGGTCACCCTGTATAATTCTGATTAATTATATATTCTGTCCACCCAATCTTACTGTAAATTAGTGTTAAAAGGATCTGTAAACTCATCTCAACGTTTCATATATTTTAGGTGGTGGTTTAGAATTGGCTCTGTCTTCGGACATTCGTGTGGCTGCAGACAATGTGAAACTAGGCTTGGTCGAAACGAAACTAGCTATTATACCAGGCGCGGGCGGTACGCAATTTCTTCCACGTATTATAAATCCATCTGTAGCCAAAGAATTGATCTACACTGCGTCCATTTTTGGTGGAAAAGAGGCGGAAAAAATGGGCCTAATTAACCATCTTGTAGAACAAAACGGGGATGGTAACGCTGCGTATTTGAAGTCATTAGAGATTGCTCAAAGGATTTTACCGAATGGACCGGTGGCTGTTAAGATGGCTAAACAAGCCATAAATAGAGGTATGCAAGTCGACATTGGCGAAGGTTTGGCTTTGGAGGAGGTGTGTTATTCAAAGGTAATTCCTACAAATGACAGGTTAGAGGGTTTACAGGCTTTTAGCGAAAAAAGAACACCTATTTACACTGGGTCGTAATGTTTTAATAAAACTTAATTTTATTAAAAACAAATTTTTATTAGATATTTCAATATTAGAACCATATATCTTTAATAAGAACGTATTTTTATATATTTATATATAATTTATGTTTTCTTAAAACAATTTTTTTAATATTTACATATAATACAAAAAACACAAAAATCAAGAAGTCGATTTAAGAGATAAATATATCCAACTAATATAGTTGAAATGACACTAGTAAAAAAATATAAAAATTATGATTCAGCGAATTTACACAAGTTTTGAACATTAAAAACTGTACAGCGTGAACATAATAGTTTTTCGTAAATTGAACACCGTTTGTGTAGCATATTATTGTAAATACAAATTTCAATTTGAGAATTTTTTTGTCATTTCGAGATGTAGATTTTTGAGAATAACCTTAAATTTCTCTAATACTATGCAAATTTTTTCCTAATTTTTAAAACTTCATCAATAGCTGCACCACAATAGCATCTTGGACAAACATGTAAATAACGAAAATATGTATTTAATTCGAGCAGTTTTGCAACAGTCAATGCATGTGACGGATTTTTCGTTAATTTCAATAAATGAAGGCACATTTTGATTTTCAAGTACAGTACAGACATATACTTTAAAATAGTTTATCCTATTATACTTATAAATAACAAGAAGGCCAAGTAAATTGTACCTCAACAATCAATGAAATTAGGACAAACGTTATTTTAGTAATGATATAGTCCTTAAAGATACAGGAAATTCAGAACATTTGTCCCAAATTTATTGATTAATTAAACCTCACGATTGGTAATTTTTTCGTTATGGATTATCTTACATTTTTAGATAATAGAAATAATTTATACACATCGATATAACTATAATATGATTTATAGAAGTAAGCTAATCCATAAATATGATCAGATCTGAAGGCACAACATCACAGAATAATAACAATGATAAAAGTTCTTTGAATATTTCATCGTGATCAACAATAATTTAATAAATGTGACAGAATATGAACAAAGTATTATAAAATGCATGGCTTTCAAAAACACAACATAAAATGTCTAATAGGAATATAATATTGGATACAACAATACAAAATATGAGTAATTTAGTTACAGCCAACTTTGGTACGGCACAAGCATTGGAGATTTTTAATGCGAAATTGCTACATATTATTATTTTCGATAACTCCAAATTGGACATTTATAATTTTATTGTCTACTAATATAGTAACTAGCATTAAATATTTAACATATAAACTACGTGTGGCACACTCCTCGAGATTATGGAACAACTTATTGACAATTTTACAATAATTTTACATGCTATGTACAAATATAATTCATTTCAAAATATTTCCCGAAAAATTAATTTATATTTCGACGCTAATCACTGAAATCGTTAAATATCTTAAAACGAATTTCAAACTTATTACGGTCATATTAAATAAATATTAAACTTCAACGCCTAATACTCTGTCGACGACGTAATCATACCTTTTTTCGGAATTGTTTTTCTCATCTATGTTATCTAATCCATTTTCTTGAATTTCGTCAGTAACTAAACATTTTTCATCTGATTTATCTTCAATCGACGAACGTTTTAACGTATTGTTGGTTGAATGGCACTCGTCGTGAGAAGGAAGAAAAGGTACGTTGGTGTCTGAACGAGTGAAAAATGCCATTTTCTCTCTGTAAGATTACATTATGTTAATATATATTATAATAAAAAAGGGTCCGTAAATGTGATGTATTAAATTCAAAGCATTACTTACTGGAAGGAAATAACGTCGGGTTTTCCATTACCCGCTTTGGACTTTCTCAACTTGTAAATATCTTTCGATACTTTCTTCAACATTTTCTCGACCTTCTTCTCTTCTAAGCTCTTAGTCGCTCGACAGCTCTCAGCCTGGGCCATGAGATTCTGAAACTGCTTGTCTTCCAACAGATAGGCGGTCAGTTCAGTATCTCCCTGTTCCTAAACAAAAAAGAAAACGATGAAAATATACACTATAATTTAAAGGAAAAACAATGGCAGTACCTTCGCCGTTTCCAGTCTTTCTTTCAACTCTCTCAACCTCGACAATTCGGACGTGAGTTTATCCAGTCGCGTGTGCTGGGCCTGAAGATCCAGTTCCAGATCGATGGACGTCCGAGCGGTGGTGGGATGATGGCTCTGGGATTTAGTAACGGAAAGAGTTGTAACGCTACCGCCGGGCCTTCGGAAACGCAGGGACCTCCGTTCAACTGCGTGCCTTTCGAACGGCTTGCCTCCTCTTCGGTACAAAGGCATCGCGCTGTCGCTGTCGCTTCGGTTCAACTTGCAAATATACTGGTTTTTGGACACGTGCTGGCTAGGCGAAAACGTTTGAGATCTATAAATTAATTCGTGCTTAGATCGTGTCTGCTAGGTGTAATTTTAGTCGAATTTACCTCTTTATAGCGCCTCTATCTTCAACAACAGCGCCCGGTTTGGCGGCTTGCAGCCTCTTCTGCTTGGCCTGTTCGGGATGAAAAGCGCACTCGGTGTTCGTCTGCTTGTCGGAATACTCGGGTTCGTCGTCGACGACGTGCTCCGGAACGACGTCCAATTTCTCGTTGGGCCTGAACTCCACCGTTATGCCTTCCTCGTCGCACTCTTCGTCGTCTTCCAAATCCGCGTCCGAATCCTCCGAGTCGTAGTGCTGCGAGTTTTTGAAGCAATCGTAGAGCTCCTCGAAGTTCAAATTCAACGCCGGCGGGAACACGGTCTCCTGGTTCCTGGTCAACGTCGACGTTTGCGACGATATGATCGTCGAATCGTCGGAACTCTCTTCTTTGGCCGTTTGCTTGTCGTCGCGAACAGATATTTCCGATTCTTGCTTCGAATGGGCCAAACTCGACGTGGTTTCTTCTTGGAGAGACAAGATGTTGTACCACTTTTGCGAGACGTTGTGAGCGTTGAAGTCCGCTAAGCTAACTTGCGCGCAACCCTGGAATAACAACGAACAAAATAATATTAACGAATTTAATGCATTCAATAGGGTCTTCTTCGTCTTATGATAGTCGAAGGGTATCGAAGGTATGATTGAGTATTTGAACTTACCACACATTTGTCCTGTTGTTCAATGATTTTGTTCCATATATTCACTTGGAGAGTCTTAGTAAATAGTTTATTGACAGGTACTGGAATATTGAAGGCATCGGCGAATGTCGCCTTTTTCAAATCTTTCACACTTTTTGTACAAAATACCGATGGATGCGTTGACGCCGCTGGCAGCAGAGCAATTTTTACATATCTGCAATAGATGCTTCTTATAATAACAGGTAAATAAACTGGTCCACAAAAGTTAAGGAAGTTCGCAAATTTTGCGATTATTTTATAAGTTACAGACTTTTTGATCACCAAATTTTCAAGGATGCGAAATTAAATGTTTTCTATCATATCTGAGTGGATTTTTTGTCCCTACCTCTACAACTCATACTAAATTTGGCGATCAAAAAACCTGTAACCTTTATATTAATTTCAATATTTGTGAACTTCCTTAACTTTTGTGGAGCAGTATATTTAAAGTATTCCCAATTTACGCATAATTGATCAATTATGGATATATTGGAGTACAAAGGAATAAATCGAATCGAGTATTGAAAAACGAATTTCATAATGTTCAAATCTCGATTTAATTTGAAACAAACAAAAAAATAATAATGTATACTCACACTTCAGAATTATTGGGAATCAACAGGGCACTCAAATTCCTCGCCTTCTCTATAATTATATTGAGCATACTTTCAGTCGTGATATATTTAAGTTTAATTTGTACTTGTGCGGTTTCGACATCGACGTCGGCGGCGAAACCGAGCGACGCTCTCTTGCGATTCGACGCCTCGAAGACGCCCGAATCGCCGGCGACCGATTCGTCGCTGACGGCGGCCGAGACGGAGCGCGTGTTCGTGCCCGAGGACGACGTCCTGGACAGCGCCGCGCCCTGCAGCATGTCGTCGTGGTCGAGCGCCGCCGGCGAGGTCTCCGATATGGGCGACAGCGGCGGATCGCCGGAACTCTCGTACGAGTAGCGGCACGGCCTGCCCAGGCCGGAGCCCTGCGACATGTTGCTGGCCTGCGCCTCCAGCAGGTCCGTCAGAGGCGACAGGCTGGGGAACGAGCTCCTCTGCTGGTATTCGACGTTGGCGGCGCTCGCCATCGACGGCGTCGAAAGCCTCAATTCGACCAGGCGTTCGTCGAGTTGTTTCCTGTCGCGTTTCACTTGATCGTAGGCGGGCGGCGGTACTATGCTCGGCAGGTTTTCGTACATCGGCGAAACCGGCGGCGATACGGAAGACAACGAACTCCTCGGAGATAAGGACGGTTGCGATCGACTGGGCGATCCTAATTGTGTGGTACTATCACTATTCTTTAATAACCTTTCGACGCGTTTATGCAAGTCCGCCATATCGATCGGTTTTTCTATGTTATTTGTACTTATGCATTGGGGACCTCCGTAAATGTCTGTAAAACTTAAACCGGAACTTAGCGATCCTTTACTACTTGTTGTGGATAAGGAGCCTAGACTAGAACTACTACTAACTGACAATGTACTAGCTGAAAGGGTTTTCAATTGGGATTCCAGCTGGGTCATTTGCCTTAAACCGTCCTTTAGTTGCTGAAGCAGAAGTTGTTTTTCCTCGTGTAATCTCAGTCTGTCGGCGATGGCTCGATTGGAAATTTCTAAAGCTTTGTTTAAGTCTTCTTCTAACCGTTTGCACTCGAGTTGAATTCCGCTCATTTCCTCTTTAGAACGCATGCGAGGCGTTATGCTCCTGAGCTCTCTCAGCAGCTGTTCCTTTTCTTGGAACAGCAACAACCTATCCTTATCGGATTCCACCTGGCCCGGTTGCACTTTTTCTTCGAGATCGGCCAATTTCTGCTGGATGTTTTGTACTTTTTTCCTCGCTTCGTCGTACTCTAGCCTCATTTTAGCCATCTCCGCCAGTCTCGTGCCTATAGGTACCAATTCGCACGACAGATCAGTTTGGGAAGCCGTGCTGAGTTTCTCTTGAGGTAAGCTAAGGGTGGAAATGTCCGGCGAACTTTCAGACAACTGCAGCCTAGTCAAGTCGTCTTTGAGCTTCGCCAACGACTGCATCAAGTCCGCCTTTTCTTTCTCGCCGGAAGATAAGGATTTTTGGATGTTGCGTAACTCCACCATAATGGCTTGGGCTTCCGATATGTTGTAATACGTCCCCTGGCGTTTGCTCAGCTTTTGCTCCACGCTGCAAACGCATTACAAAATTATAAAAATAAAGTTCAACAAAAGAAATTCCGAATACTCACTTTGTTAATGTTTCGACGCCCCTTTCTGTATAATTCATTTCGTTCCTAATTTGTTCCAACTCCGACTTCAACCTGGACACTCGGTTTTTGGCCAATGCTACGTCGGATTTCAAGAGGTCAGGATCGTATTTTGTACTAACACTACTACTGGATGAGCATACTGGAAATAAATTTTATCGTAATCGTTAACAAGAATTACATATTTTAGGGTCAATGAACAATATTAACAATGTTGCACTCTTAAAAATAATTAAATATGTAGTATTTTTTGCTCATCAGAAATTGTTTAATAGAACTTAAGTTTTCTATAGGAATAAATTTTTTTTATACTTTAAAGTTAAAAATAAATGTACTTACAGCTTGTTCTAGATGTAGTGAGGTTCGTTAGGGCGTTATTAAGATGATTGTATTCATCCTGAGCTAGAAGAAGCCTTTGAGTTTTAACTTGATAAATATCTTTTTTGGCCTGAAAAAAAGAAAATATGTTAACAATCGGGTATTACTAAAAAATAAGTAACTAAAATTAAGTAGAAAATAATACAATATTGTAACCTTTTTTAAATTCTTCGACTAGAAGAATTATTTAGTGAGACATTTTAATCGGACGTTTATTAAAATGTAAAGAAAAAATACTCTTCATACACCCTCAAAAATAACGATAAGATTATAAATTACAAAAATGCAAAAAATGCCCTTTATCACCATTGCAAACTCGAACGCACTTATCACAAAGCCTCAATAATTATCTAATACCAACACTTGCAATTCTACAACAATCCTCAAAATTTCCAACAACATTTTACTCCATAGAAAAAAAACAACTTACAGGAATTTCTTGTATTTGCACGGCCCGCCGTCCGGCGCCGTTGCCGTACCCAACGTTCACCACCTGCACGTCCCCCCTGCGAGTCGCGCCCACCAAACACGACGGCGGCAGCGTGCGAAACATGCGAAAGGCGGCCGGAGGCGGCGCGATCCGCGACCCGCCGTTGCCCAAGTACTCGGGCGGCAGAGTTTGAACGTGCAAAGGCAGAGCGGCAGCCGCCTGGCCCGCCGATATATAGCACAAGGGCCACATCGCGACTAACCCAAGTTCCTCTCCCTGTGGGCCTTCCAGTGCTCTCTTTAGTGTAAGGCCCGGTTCGAGGCACAGCGGCGGACCCGGGGTCACGGCGAGATGGTGAAAAAAAATTTATTCGGATGCCGTTTCCAGCGAGCAACGGTCAGTCGCGTGCCACAAATCGCCTATTTATTTCTCTACGATACTTCTAGTACTCGTACTGTATTATGTATTCAACATTATGCAGAAGTGTAAGAAATTGTAAGAAATGTAAGAAATAAGAAGGAATCTACGAAAGAAGGTCGAAGCAATGATGACGAAAATAAGCCGAGAAGAAATTAAAGAAGTTCTTATATTGGAATGAAAAAGAAACAATTGTATGCATTTTTATAAAAAAAATTGTTTACTTCGAATAAAATGATTGATGATCAATTTGTTCAATTGAACGTAATTCCTTCGATAAGTTAATAACGAAGTAAAATTGTTTGACGAATCGAAATCGAGAAATTCGTTCGATTTGTTGTTGCTGGAAATTACCATATTTATATTGCAAAAATCAAGAATGTGCACGATCTGAAATATTTTCCAGTTTAATTTCTTTATCATTAGCATTTTAATCGCGCGAATTTTTCGCTGATTCGCGACCTCGGTTAGTTCGCTCGATTTTATCGGCGGATTTTTATGCATATCGTAGCGCGATTGAACGCATTATCTGCTTTATCGGAAATCGCTTTATCTCGCCGTAGATAACAGAACGGCTACGATTCCCTCGTTTCTGTCGTCCATAAAATATATTTTTTTCAATTACAAATCGTCCGATTTGTCGGCAAGGAACGGTCCCGTACCGACGCAACTCCAAGCAACGCGTGGATTTTATTCTTCGAGTACCACCGGGTCGCCGCCCCTGTGAAATGGCGGCCTTGGGTCGTCCTTCGCACCCTAATAATACCGGGCCGGCGTGGCCCGACCGTGGGCCCATCATGCCACACTATAATTTCCGTGTGCATTCCAGAGGTCACGCGGGACGGGACCCGAACGGAATGAACAAGTTATCAGAGGCGTAGGCTAAGCCGAGGATCATGAAGAATGTTATCCCTAATAATGCATCTCCAAGTCATACGAAGGACATGTAATGTTATACTCTTTGGTTAAAGATTTATAGGTGGTTAAAAATGCTAAAAATGGTCGCAGTTTTCAGGAAGATTTGAGTTGGGTTTTTGGTATAGTATAGTAGTATTCGTTTAAAGGTATAGTAGATGTAGTTTTATTACTATTTATTTTGTTGTTGTTTACTAGGTAATTCTAATCTACTGCAATTTATTACTTAATACATTTATTAAGTATTGCCAATATAATTAATAGAAATAGAAGAAAATTTAGAATTTCCTGACCGACCAGAAGTACCATCTTAACACTTAAAGAGCTAATAATAATAATGTAATATGTAGAAACATAAACACTTAACTATATCTAAATATTTTTATGCATTATTCAACTGATGTAATTTAATATCCGTTTTTTGAGAAATTCATTTGGCCCTTCGTGGAGTTGGGCAGGGACGCCGCTGGGGCGAATGAAGAAGAAGTAAAAGAGAAGGACGACAGCGAGTTCGTAGCCTGGAGCCGCAGCCGCACATTGTTTCAAAAAGCCAGCTTGATGGCTCTTCAGAGGACGGACACATAGAAGGGATACCTATCAATTCCTCACATTCTTCGATAATTTATAAGAGTAATTTCAAGGTTTATTTTTTGTTCGTTTGGTATTTTTTTTCTTCCACGGATAGCATGAAATTTAGCTATTCCGCGTGCCATACGTGGAAGTTATCTTGCGTACATTATTGCGGTAGAGTAAGTTGAAATTTATTGGGGAATTAAAGTGTAATTGAAGTATGAAAATAAAATCAAGAGATTATAGAGATTAGATAATAGACAAATGATAAAAAACTTGATAGAAACAAGATAATTAAACGTATACGTAATAAATATTTTTGAAAACGTTTACCAAAAACTTTAATAAATATAGATGACATCATGCCAATAAGTACTCAAAATAGAGGTAAAAAACAAATTTTATAAAAAGAAATAAACAACATTTATAGACCCTTAGTCACAAAAATAAGCCGGGTTCAAATTTTACGAATGACCACCTCTCAAAATAAAGTTACACAAACAAATCCAGAGCACCGCGCATTCCATAGACATTTGAAAAAAAAACCTAATTTCGCCCAAAAAAATAGGATACATCAACGAGCATCTGCGCTTATGTATATTGCAAAAATTTATCGACCATCTGCTCGCCACGATTTTTTTAAATCGGTCGAATTGACGATTCCCGCGACATTCTTGACATAACCGCGGTCCAAGATTCAAGTATCTGGTCGGTTTGAAAGATAGAATCTTTAGCCACATACCTCGGTACGAATTAAGTGAATACACGGTGTTTCGAATTCGATGTGCCACCGTCGTCACCGAAAATGACACTACCCCGTCAAATCCATCTTCTCAATGTTTTCCATGCATTTATTATTGCAAAAATTCTTTAAGTAAATGTTTTTTTTGTATTTAAAATACCTACACAATAAAGACAGATAATAGCAATACAAGATGGTAAGAAATTTTAAACGAAATTTATGCCTCCGTGTAAAGATTGTAAAAATACGAGGCTACCTATACGAGAACGAAATCTCCATTTTCCACTTTATTGCTGACCATATACCCCCGTGTTGCATTCTTTACGTTCCTAGCGAGTCGTGATTGTAAAATGAAAATTTTAAAAGTAAAGAAAGATGGAAGAATGCAAGATATTTACGGTCAAAGACGTATCCACCAATTCACTTCAAAGGAAGAAATAACTTCAATTTTATCGAACAACACAAATAACGCAGAAATTAATTATTATTCGGCAAATTGAATTAAGCAATTTGATTAGGTGTGGTTAACTTCACAAACTTTCTCAAATACAAATATGTACCTACTTATTATCAAACAAATGTTACTCATTATTTGGCGTACAAACAATTTTTTTTAAATACAACGAATCCGTGTACGGTGCGAATATTCAACGCGTTCTATTCCAGTCAGAGCTCAAATATTTGCTTCCATAAAGTGCGTGCAAATACGCCTATTTGACTTTTTCACGGGCCGACGCTGCTCCGTGCATTCCCATAAACCCATCTTAGCGTGCTTTGAATGGGATACATTATGTATAATTTGCGGAATGGAATGCAACACTCTTCATCAGACCAAACCGAAAATAAAATAATAGGTAACATTCGAAAGTTCAAAGGGCAACGCAATGTTTTTCATGCCTTTTTTTTACGAAACGAGCGCTTCGTGAGGCGTCAGGAATTTTAAGTACGAAATTTTAGCGATTTCAAAACCCGTGATTTTTAAAGGATAATTCCACCAATATTTTTTTTATGTTATGATAGCAAGCGAAAGACCATCTTAAAGAAGGTTTAAATTCTAACGGAGACTTTTTTAGTACCCAGTGTCTTCAAAGTCTTTGAAATAAATTGGTTCAAGGTTTAAAATTTCATTATACAGGGTGTAAGAAAAAGTTGGGTCATAAAGGATCATTAAGTAAATTGGACCCATATAAAATCTTATGAAATTGGGCTATTATTATTTCTGTAACAAGAGCATATCAACAAAAAATTAACAAAATTGGATCCTCCACAAATTTTTAGAGGGTCATGTACATATAATTCCTTCCTATTTTTTTCTATTCTTCAGATTTAAGTTATTTTTTATGTCCACTTTCAATTATTTCACTACCTTCACTAACCTTAACGTATTAATCCAATGTAAAAGTGAAACTTGTATTGGTAATAATTTATTTTTTTTTCCAATAAAATCGCTAATCTCTACTCTACATTTCCTCCATGTATGAGCAAACAGTTAGGCATTGGTAATTAAAGTAATTAACACAGACAATTGAAAGTAATTTCCTTAAAAAAACCGCTTTGTCGTAAAACTTTTCTCTAATGGCAAATCGTTCCAGTAGTCCGGTTGCAAAGTGCAAACGATGTCAGACATGAATAATCACGATGGTATTCCGTTATGATTGCGACTGAGGTGTTATATTTGTTTGTCGATATAAAAAAATAATTATTGTTAAAAGCAGATGCGACCGAGTCATCGCGGTTTCCGTGACTAATTCTGTAATTCTGTTTGCGATGCGCCAGTTCGGTTCCCGATAGGATTCGAAATACAATTTTCGTGGATGGCTCGCAATTGAAAAGACGCAAATCATCATTATCAATTAAGGATTCATCCTTGAATAATGGTATAATAACAATGCAGTCATCGCGAAGATATTCCGTTGCCGCAGGTCCGAAAACAGTGTCAAACCGTTTAAAAAACTACTCGGGTCGGTTGATGTTTTTTCGTCGGTTGTTCCGACCA